TTTTTCCTTCCGGTACCAGGAATAGAACTCATGACTTTGCGCTTGCCAGGCAGGCGCTTTGCCACTGAGCTAAATCCCTAGCCCCCCGTTTTTTTCTAAAAAGCAAGATCCAAGACACTGTTAGGCATGGGAAAGTTAACAAGAAATATGTCACCTTGTATCAAGCTGCTTAGGCACATAAATGATTGGAACAGTGAAAACATGCAGTAAGAGTCTGGTGCAGAGGCCACTGGGAGCTCGGGGAGGAGATGAGCCCCGAGGACTGGAGGAGCAGAGTGGAGCGTGGGAAGGCTGGACAGGAGATGCTCACTGGGAGGGGAGGAGCTCTGCACATCCTCGGCTCCTAGCTCTGCTTTAACACCTGCTCCTGAGAGCTACTGAGACCTCACCGACCACTAACACACTCTGTACCTGGGCAGTGCTGCTTCAAGAAGTAAAAGGTGGGTAAGCGGGTAAAAGCAGTACAGGAGTGAGAGGAGGAGACAGGTGGAAGGAAGTTTCCCCTGGTAGGAAAGTCACAATCCGACTCAAGAACTAGGCAGAAAGCTGCCCTCACGAATCTTGGTCGTGCCAAGGGCCCGAGCTGAGGCAACTCCTTGGGCTCACATGGATTCCACAATGGACTGACACCAGACTTCTCTTTGCTTCGGCTTCCTCTTCTGTAGTAGAATGGAGATGGACACAGCCATGCCAGCCCTGCAGAACTGCTGACGACTGAATGCATTAAGGGAGGTAATGACCAAAAGGAGGCTGCTACAGCAGCAGGGATCAGCTCTTGCATTAGAAAGGAATTCACCAAAACTGAAAGGAATTCAAATGCTTTTCTCTCCAGACAGGAAGAGGACAGAAAAAGGAATTAGGAATGAAAAGCTGACTTGCAAAGGCCTGCAAAGAACCTGGCCAGCTTTTCCTGACTGGGAAAAGGAAACTGAAAGTGAGAAGTAAGGTTTGAGGGCATGCAAGCAGGGACAGGCTCTTCTTGTGACTTTCCCTCCCTCTGGACATTCTTACCCGAAGGTAGCCCCTTGAAGTAAACACTTCAGTATCTCAAGAATTACTGTCTACTCACAGCAGTGCCTTGTCAGTAATCTCCTTAAGATCCTGGGCTTAACTGAATCCCAAGACCTGCTGGAGACCAGGCCCAATCGATCTCAACATCCATTTGGCTTTTGATTTTCTGTTCGTTCGTTTTGCAGTACTGGAAATTGAATCCAGGGCCTTTACACTAAGATACAGTCCCATCCCTTTATTTTTTATTTTGAAGCAGGCCCTACATTGTCCAGGGTTGGCTTGGATTTGCAATCCAAGCTGCCCAGTGTGCCAGGGCTGCAGGCTGGCCTGTTATTCCAGGGTTTAAATGATCCTCCTTCCTCAGCCTCCCGAGTAGTTGGGACTATAGGAGGAAATCAGAAGGAATGTGGGAAATCCTCCCAGAGCTGGTACACACCACAGCCAGTTCCTCAGGCTGGGTAAAGCTAATGAGGAATGAGAAGTGACCTTCACTTTTGTCACATACACGACTACTTGGGGTAGCAAGAAGGAAATAAATATTTTATGTTCTCCTACATTGCCAGATGTTTAGCTGGGCCACAGGCTGTTCACCTAAGATGTAACGTTTGACCAGATTGATCAATGAATTTTAGTTATGATGCTTCTAATGCTTGGGAACTGCCCTACAAAACCGTGACACCGCAACTTCTGAACTGTTGCCAAAACAGCATAGTCTCCCAACTAAAAACAATTTTCTTTCTTTAAATATTCATGATCTAGATGCTAAACAAAATTCCACTCACAATTAATCCTCATTTCCCTTACATGTTGCCATATTCCATCACATTAAAGCACAATTTTATACGGGTTATAAGAAATCCTTTCAAACTTCTTTATAGTAAATCACCTTAGAAATAAAACTCTGGCGCTGGGAATGGTGGCACATACCAATAATCCCAGCACTCAGGAGGCTGAGGCAGGAGGATTGCCATTAAATTCAAGGCCAGCCTGGTCCTCATACTGAGACCCTGTCTCAAAAAAAACAAAAAAGAAAAAGTAGAGCCTCTTATTCATCTTACTCTACTGGCAGATTTAGTTTCTCCTGGCTGGTGATTTTACTCCAAATCTAAATTGCTTTGAAGACACTGCAAATTCATGTCTCTACTGTGTCTGCAAAGGGAGGCAAAGGTAAGAACAAAGGAAATAAAAACATCAGGAACCTTTGAGAAGTACTCATGCTATCTGCTCAAGAGTAAATAGGCAGTCCTGCTGCTCTGCTCAGATAAAGGTAGTTAATAAATTATGCCAATGTATGAGGTAGTCACAGAGGCACAATCAGAATGACAGCCAACCCTTGACAGAACGTTTAAATATCAAACCTGAATAATTATTAATAGTTCAGCACAGAATGAAAACCTTTGGTTACCTCAGAGGCACTGGTATACACTCAGAAACTTCTAGAGGAACGCACAAGTCACATCCCCGAGACAAATGGTAGACGTGGCGAGGCACTCCCTGCTGCTACAAAATCTGCTGCTGAAAAAGAAGAGTGACCGGGGATGTAGCTCAGTGGCACAGCGTCTGCCTGGCAAGTACGAGGTCGTGAGTTTGATTCTTGCTGCCAAAAAAAAAAAAAAGTGTGGCACTTCACCAATATGCAAATGTTTCTAATATAAAATCTGTTAAGCAATTTTCCAGTACTTTAGGCTGCAAGTGCTTAAGATGGGTATTCCTTTCCATTGCACTCAAACGTCACATAAATTAGACTCTCATTAACACCCTGCATGGAAAGTGCCGACAGTCTGGCCTAGCTTAGTCATTGCTTTTGTATTTCCTTCCACATGTAACCTGTAGTCAAGACCACCTCTCAGTCATCTGGGGAAGGACTTCCTAATGTGAGGCCCACCCCAGCTTTGTCAGTCATTCTTTCTGGCAGCTTGTCCGGGCCAACCGGCCCATTTTCTTTAGCGCTGGCTTTAACAAAGCATGAGAGGACTTGAGACTCAGCTCTGGGTGAAAATGAGAAGTCATGATTCACGGAAAAAACTGATTACCTTCTTGCCTATTTTTCTGATCCGATTTTTACTGATTTAGAGGGACCAATGACCATGACCCTTAAGGAGCACTGAAAATGTGGAAATGCTCTTGTTTAGAAGCTACTTTGCGAAGTTACACTGTGAATCAGTTACCCTCCCTCACCCTCATGCTTGCCCTGCATTTAATTTTTCATGTTTACACTCTTGGCAATTCTGCCCTGAGACAGTCACTGAGCAACAACCACGACACGTATTTGTGCAAGCCACCAAGTGATATATAGGGAACTGCTATTACTGTACCAGGAAAACAAATATAGAACATTCTGGATGTAAATGTTCTACAGACTGATTCCTATTACTTTAAATCCCACATAACAAAATACTACTATAGATACTGAAGGCGCTTCCAGGAGTGGGGCAGTGTCAGATCCAAATGGTGAGAGACAAAGGGCTTTGAAGCCATGCAATCTCAAGCCTGAATCCCAGCTTTCTTCCACATTAGTTGTACAACCTTAGAGGAGTTACGCATCATCAGTCTGTTCCCTTGCTTATAAAAATGGGTGTTCACTTGACAAAGTTGTTTTAAGGTTAGAATAAGCATAGAAAACCAGCTCGAGATGTGAAAAATGGTAGCTGAGTATTAATGCACACATCGCACACCGTCTATGGACCGACATGCTAGGCCTGCCGCTATGTCCCAGGGGATGGGTTCTACAGGAGTAAGTGGTTTAGCCTCAATTCTCTATTTCATTCCGACACTGCAACAAATTTTCAGCATGTCTAGCAATTCATCTTTAAACAAGTCTTCTCTAGGTGAATCTCGGCCTCAACATGCTGCCCACTCTGAACCCCTGGAACAGCTGCCTTGTTCCTGACATTAACTTGGATATTTTCTTCCTACCTCAAACACTAGAAGATGGTATATAAACAGTTGTAGTTAACTAATTTTATATACATCACTGTGCTCTAATGACTAGAATAATTCTAGTAATCTGTTCCACTGCTTCCCTTTTTGTTAAAAAACAAAACAAAACAAAACCTGGTCACTTACAAGCTGGAGGAAAACCCATTTTCCAAGAAAACAAGGCGCCCACCAGTTACACCAGATCTTAATCAAAACCAAGTCAAGCCGGGCGTGGTGGCGCACGCCTGTAATCCCAGCACTGGGGAGGCTGAGGCAGGAGGATCGTTGCGAGTTTGAGACCAGCCTGGGCTACAAAGTGAGCTCAAGGCCAGCCTGAACTGCATAGGGAGACCCTGTCTCAAAAAGGCAACAACAACAACAACAAAAAATCTAAGTCAGTTACCAACTAAAGCTACGGAGCACAAATGGACCACTTATATGTTGTTTTATACCTTGTTTTAAGTGTCGGCCCCCCCCCCCAAAAAAAAAACCGCGTTGTCATATTAGGGGTGCATACTTAGTACTAACACATTGAATAGCACCAAACTTAAGAATCTGGTCTCTGTGGTCTGACTTCTTAGAGTTTTTTCCCTCATAATAGGAAGATGTTTACGTAATGTGAGGTGGACCCACATTTTCAAGGGAGATACATAAGAAGGTGGATCTTTTAGGAACTTTGTACTCAAGATTCTACTCCAGGTTAAAGATACTAATTGGCTGGCTGACAACCTGAAAACTGGACCGTTACCTGTTTAACAGACCAGCCAGCTTGAAATTCAGGAAGATCTCTAACCTCAGTCCCAGGCGGACGGACAATGGTAGCCAGTGTTTACAGGTCAACTAGGGGGCTTCAGTCTGTGCCCATCATTTTCAGCAGTCCCGCCCGGCATGTTATCAGCACTTTATGGATGAGACACGGTCTATGTAACAGAATCCAAGCATGCACATATACTCTGCTCTGACAACAGAAAATCCACCAGAGAGGCAAGTCCTGGAGAAGGCTGAGCAGGACGCCACCTCGGTGTAAGCAATAACAAATCACAATAAACCCTGACCCCGAAACAGCTGAGGAAAGGATCTAAGAATATTTACTGGTAATGGGTACGTGTTCAAAGACAACTCAACTTCCTTGTTTCCTTCCCTAATTAAGTCCTTGACAGTTATAAATTCAGTTAGAAAATTCTACAGATACAGGGAGATGCCAGTAAATGCAAGTCTAACTAGGTAGAAGATGAAATCTTCCAAGTACTCAAGTCTGGGTGAGGTATAAAGCCGAACTGGAAAGCAGGTATTTGAACACATCCCACTGTTCGCCTTCCTCAACACGGCTTCTGGGTCTGTCAGCCACACCTTAGTGACGGGCAGCAGCCCATGTCCTCAGGTGCTTCTTTAATAACAACAGCACTGGTGTTTGAACTTGCAACACACATTTCAGGATTTGGGAGCTTCTGGGAGCATAACTTTAACCCAGCCTTCCATAACAGTCTTTTTACTTTCTATTACCGAACACGACACTTCGATAACAGCAACAAAACGCTTGAGTCTTTTCACTTCTGCAGAAGCCAAAACAACTTCTCCAATATATAAAGGAGCTGGAAAGTTAATTTCCTGAGAAAGAAACACACAACCTGGTCCCGGCATTTTAGTACCCAAGAGAGCTGAGATCAGTCCATTGATCAAAACTCCATGTACGACTGTCTTTCCAAACTTGGTGTGTTTCACGAACTCCTCATTTAAATGTAAGGGATTGACATCTCCAGTTAACTCTGAGAAGGCAACCACGTCCCTCCGTGTGAAGGCCCTGCTGAGTTCAGCTCGGTCTCCAACTCTCACATGCACGAGCTCAAAGTGCTGTCTGCTCAGCACTGGTCGACTCAGGCAGAATCTCCTCCGAAGTCCACCCCACCAAAGCGGATGGTTGGGTTTTACTGGGAACATCTTTGACATCTTCCAATTTCTTCAACGGGGTCTTTAAGACTGCTGCTGTATTCAAACTGTGAAGTCACCAAAAAGTACTTTTGGGAGCAGAGGAAAACTTTCTGAAATTGAAGACTATTCAATCCAATACCAGTTCCCTACTATTACCAGATAAAGCAAGGAGGAAGGGAGAAACCTACAAGAGAAAGAAAAACATGAATAGTGTTAGAAAAAAACTGCACTGCAACACAGAGCACTGTAGAAACACGCCCAGTTTTACAGGAGGGATAAAGCTACTCTCCTAGTACTTTAAAGAACATCTTAGGGAAGCATCCTTGGCTAAACAAGCAGCCGTAAGTTCAGTGAGAACACACCAATGTGCAGCACTAGGCCTAAGCATTAAGTGAAGTGAAGCCTCTCCCACAAGGGCTCCAAGGGTGATCCCCAGCACCTCCCACACAACCTAACTCTAAGCGCCTCGTCTCTCATTTCCAGAAGCAGTGAGGCCCTGGGCTATTTTTTCACTGCTGGATGGTATTAACTATGCTAGCTTTATTCAAGTAATAAAACTAAAATTATACACTAAAATCAGATGATCCATACTTGGCCTTGTTTGTCGTGTGTGAAGGAACAGCTTTTACCTGAGTCACTCTGAAAGCACATTTTTTGCCTTTATAGGATCCTAGCAGGGTCAAAGAGCTCCACAATTTGGCCATACCGCTGCGGAAAGATCATGAAGAGAGTAAATAAAGGACTTGTCCCCACACCATCTCCCTAATATTTTTCTTTGTTATACTCCAGAAAGTCATTGATATTTTTTACCAGAAAACTTGATTTTTTTTTTTTTTTTTCATTTTTTTGAGACAGGGTCTTACTATGTAGTTCAGGCTGGCCTTGAGCTCACTTTGTAGCCCAGGCTGGTCTCAGACTCACAACGATCCTCCTGCCTCAGCCTCCCAAAGGCTGGGATTACAGGTGTGCGCCACCACGCCTGGCTGAAAACTTGATTTAAAGAAAAAAATACCTTGTAAGTAAAAGCACGGTATATCACCATCAGCATAGAATAAGATGAACATAAGAGTATTCCTAAAATACACATTTGGGACTTTGCAACCACAACCATCAGCTAGTGAACTCTAGTTTTAACCAAATCACAGCTTCTGTCCTCCATAAGCCCCTGCTAGATGAATGTTCTTATTCCTTTCAGTTTAAATTTCTAAAAGTTGCTCAGAGGTTACAATTGCAAAACTCTTGTCATCTGCAGCTGGGTGTGGTGGCACACACCTGTAATCCCAGCACTCAGGAGGCTGAGGCAGGAGGATCATTGTGAGTTTGAGACCAGCCTGGGCTACGAAGTGTGCTCAAGGCCAGCCTGAACTGCATAGCGAGATCCTGTCTCAAAAAGACAAAAAACAAAAAACAAACAAAAAAATCGCTAATCTTGTCATCTGCAAAGTGAGCACCTTTGCTGTTTCTCCACCAGTCTCTCCACCTTGTTCTCCGAGGGCGTGATGGTGAGCCTTTTGGAGACCGAGTCCACAAACTGCAACCCAAAACCCACTTATTTAACACAAAGTGCCAACACTGCAGTTAACCTGAATACTGAGGTTTCTATGTAGAAAAAAACAACTCATACAACTTGTGATGTCACCACAGAGCAGGCTCTGCGCGCCTGCTGCCTCACGCACACCCCAGGTTCAGTGTCAAGGCCCTACAGTGTTCCACTGTCATACCTGCTACACACTCGCAAGATGGCTGATGAGGTCTTCTCGTCATAGGTCAGGACGTCCACAGGTAAGGCAGCACCAACCTACGTACAAGATTATGCTATTAGCAACATTATTCTTAAACTCTAATAAATCCTGCCAACTCTTTGTTTTTGAAGCTTTTCTTCTCCAAAAAATCAGCACCTCACTTAATGATGCTGGTACTCACCAGCTACTTATAGCTTCCTCTGCTTGGAATATTCCTCTACCCCTTCGCATAGCTGATCCCTCCACTCCTCTAGTCTTTGTTTAAATTCTTTCTTCTCTAATCCTAAAAATTAGGCTCCATCTGCTTGCTACATTTTTTTCCCATACAGTACACATCCTTCCTCTCACAATTTTCATCCTCTTGCCACTAATCATTTACCATATTTTCCTATGACGACAATCAAGACCATCAGTCCATGAGACAAAGGTCACATCTGTTTACAGCTACATCTTAGAAACCAGGCTTTACACCTGACACACAAAGTGCACAGATCTCTTAAAAATTTACTTAGAAAAATTACAGGCTCACAGAAGACTAAAATAAACTTCAGGAGGTTTTGTACATCCTTCACTGCCCCCCAATATCAGCTTGCTGCATACCTATAATATACTACCGAAACCTGGCAATCAGTGTCAGAATAAGCCAGAATGTATCTGCATTTGGCCACTTACACAGGCACTCACACTTGTACATGTGTGTGTGTTTTCTTACCACAGCTTGCTGCAAGTAACTACCACTGCAATCAAGATAAAGACTGCACCAGCACAAGGCTTCCTCGCTCCCTCAATCCTTCCCTCCTATCTCTAACCCTCGGCAACCACTAATCCTGGCCCACATTATACATTATTTCAAGGGCATTACACACATAGATTCACTCAGAATGTGATCTTTGGAGTGATTCTCTGGAGATCCATCTGGCTGTATGCATCGATAATTCATTCCTTCTTGTTGTTGAGTACATCCCATACTACGAATGTACTACAGCTTATTCTCTCAGTGAAAGACAACTTGAGTGTTTCCAGTTTTTGGTTATTACAGATGAATCGACTATGAACATTTGTCATAGGCTTTTATGTGAACACAAGCTTGCATTTCTCTGGGATAAATGCCCAGCAATGCTATTGCTGGGGGTATATAGGTCATGTTTTGTTTACACTGCAGGGTAGTTGTACCATTTCATGTTCCACCAGCAATGTATGAATGATCCCATCTCTCCATATCCTTGCCAGCATTTAGCTATCACTATTTTTTATTTCAGTCATTCTGCTACGCACACACTAGTTTCTCATTATATTAATGCATGTTCCTAATCTTCTTTTTTTTTTTTTTTTTTTTTCTGTACCAGGAATCAAACTCACGACCTTGCGCTTGCCAGGCAGGTGCTTTGCCACTGAGCTAAATCCCCAGCCCCTTCTGAGTATCTTTTCATGAGTTTCTTTGCAAACTCTACATCCTCTTCAATGAAATGTCTGTATGTACTTTGTGTTGATTTTCTAGGTGGATTGTTTGTTTTTTTATTGTTAGGTTTTGAAAGTTTTTTACATAATCTAGGCATTTGACCTCTGTTAGATACTCAGTTCATAAATGTATCCACCCCAATCTACAGTTCATCTTTTTATCTTCTTAACAGAGCCCTTTTGTTTTTGTTTGCCTTTGTTTTGTGGTTTTTTGGATGCTAGAGATTGAATCAAAGGTCTCAAACATGCACTTGTTTTTGTTTTCAAAGCAGTGGCAAAGTTTATCTAAAAAAGTGAAAGTGAAGAGAAGAAACTGGTGAGAAAGAAACTGGCTCTGCAGAGTGAGCTTGAGCCAAGCAAAAGAGGAAAAAATAAGATAAAAGAACACCCTGGAGAACACAGGGCGGGCAGTCCTGAGGAAAGCCAGGAGAGCTGCAGAATAAGTTTTTACTTTGATAAAGTACTTGGCAGATTTTGACCTGACAGAATATATGAATCGGGAAATAACTTCCTGAGAATCCTGTCTTTGCTGCTCTTCTCAATTTCCAAAGTTCTGTTTTTGTTCTCAAGGCAACACTGGAGTAAAGTCACTCAAAGGGCTGGCTTTGCAGGAGGGCCCAACTGTTGGCATAACTAACTCCATCCTGCCTCCTGACTTGTTCTTTCTCTAAGCATTCTCTCTTACGGTCACCCTGGAGTCCAGCAACAACAGGTTTGATTAATAAACATCTTGCAACAAGAGCTGAAACTACATCTCAGGCAGCAGCAACTTTATTATCACAGCAAAGCTTCCCATAAGAATCCTGAGATAGCCAGGCATGGTGGCACATGCCTGTAATCCCAGCACTTGGGAGGCTGAGGCAGGCAGATCGTTTCAAGTTCGAGACCAGTCTGGGGTACAAAATGAATTCAAAGCTAGCCTGAACTGCATAGCAAGACTCTGTCTCAAACACACACACACACACCAAAAAAAAAAAAAAAAAAAAAAAACCCTGAGATAAAAATCAACCAGGCCTAAGGTGGCCATGGGAGCCACTAACCCTTGCCTCTGTCCCTTTTCTATTATAGCCCCAAGTCTCTTGTCAGCAAACTCTGGCCTTCTCACTATGGCTACACAGAATAATTCCTCTGCTACTTCACCACACTCTTCACCTTTGGTCTTTTAGGATGAGTGGCCACATCTTGTCAGGCCTCTGGTCTAGGACTCAGGCTATAATCTGAGATAGGACAGAGCTGCATCAGAATATAAATCCACAACATCACTAAGTACACTGTTCAGATCAGCTCACACCGTTTTGTAACAAAACTTTCTCACTAAAGGCAATGATATGCTGGTTCTGGTATAAATCCCTTAGCTCTTCAAGATGGGCTAAAAGAGGGGCTGGGGATTTAGCTCAGTGGCAAAGTGCCTGCCTAGCAAGTGCAAGGTCATGAGTTCGATTCCTGGTACCGGAAGAAAAGACAAAAAAAAAAAAAAAGATGGGCTAAAAGACATCTGCAGGGTGCCAGACTAGACCATACTGAGTAGCACTGTGCTAAAACAAACACTTGTCTAACAAGTTCCTTGTTAAAAGCAAGACATACTAACAACTATCAAAATTCATCATTTCTGAAAGCCTGATGTTGCCGCTTCAAGTAGTTTTGGTTTTTCTGTTGTTTGGTTTCAGAGACTGGGTCTCCCTATGTAGTTCAGGCTGTTCTTGAACTCATTATGTAGCCCAGGCTGGCCTCAAACTCATCCTCCTTCCTTAGCTTCCCAAATGCTGGGATTACAGGTGTGTGCCACCACGCCTGGCTCAAGCAGTTTTAAAATATTATAAAAAGGGTGTCTCTCTTCCTTTTTCTCCTTGTTTTGGGGATCAAACCAAGAGCCTGGCATGTGCTAAACAACTGCTCTACCTGTGAGCTACATCCCTAGACCATTTTCTGCATTTCTTACAGTGAACTTAGGAATGCTGATCTACCCAGTAGTTCCGTACCTCCCCGAACAGGTCCTTCAGAGAGGAAACAAGCAGCTGCTTGAACTGTGCGGCATTTAGTCCAACTCCATGATCCTGAAATTCTCTGTAACAAACATTAAAAAAAGACATCACGCTAGGTTTCATTATGTTGGGAGTCATTTTTTTTTTAAAGGTAATCTAAAATAGAACTCGGGACTGAACTTACAGGCAGACCTTCATGTAGTGGTGCTCTGAGGAATTTTTGTAAACTATTCTTTCATACGTGGCATCTGATGCTGGCATCTTTTCCAAAGCTGATCACACCTACAGTGAGAGTCAAGAGGGCTATCAATTACCAAGGTTTAAGCTGTCTTTTTTTTCCAGTGTTAGGAGTAGAACCCAGCGCTCGGCGCATGTCATTTTTCACATTTTTAAGAATTTGGCCTGATTTTTAAAAGACCTCCCAGCATAATAACTTTGCCACTTTTGTTCAAACTAAGGTCACTCATACATAAGTTCCTATGCACATATGCACTTTTTTTGGGTGCTATTAGCTATTGAACACAGGAATGGTTTACCATTGAACTACACCCCAAGGCCTTTTTAGGGAACCACACCTCAAGATGGCCATGTGATGGCCAGGCCTGCATACCTCCCTGGAGACAAACAGCAGCTTGAGATCACACTGTAATTAGCATGACCTGATCCAGTGGGCCCAGACAGTGCATCAGACACGTAAGTGGGTGACCAGAACACCCTGACCTATACTCCTCCTGTCTTTCAGGAGCATTCTCTCAATAAACCTTTTCTACTCTTAACCTCTTTTATGCTCAAATCCATTATCTGATGTCCAGAGACTCAAACTTGGCACATCTTTTTTTTTTTTTTTTGGTTTTTTTGAGACAGGGTCTCGCTATGCAGTTCATGTTGGCCTTGAGCTCACTTTGTAGCCCAGGCTGGTCTGGAACTCGCAACGATCCTCCTGCCTCAGCCTCCCAAGTGCTGGGAGTACAGTAACAGGTTGGGAGTTACTTCCCTGAGACAATTGCTCTGCTCCAAACCTTGCAATGCCTCCCACTTTGTAGAGTAAGGCCTAAGTCCTTAAAATAGCCTGCAAGCGCCTGCATGATCAGCACTGCTCTGATCTCAGGTCCTGTCATTTTTTCCTAGACTCAAATCCCCTCCACCACCACACACGCCTCTTAACTCTTTCTCAAATACCAGGCTCTCTCCTACTCCGGGCCTCAGCTCCAGGTTTTTGGGGGTCTGGAAATGCCCTTCCTTCACGTAGTTCCCAACTCACTCCATCGCCTCCTTCCTGGCACTGCACTAATCTCACCCAACTTGGGCCAGGGCCCACCCTAATACTGCACCATCCTCTCCTTTCCACGTCCTGGCCCTTTCTCTCACAGCATTTGACACCTTCTAACAATTCAGTTCTTCAACTTCTACTCTCCTCCCCGACTTCACAGTGCTTCCAGTCACGTGGCCGGGTCGGTCTTGGTCACTGTTATTTCTCAAAGAACTAAAACAGCACGGTGCACGGTGCAGGCGTCCAACATAGAACTCTGAGACCAGATTGTTAATTTTTAAAAGCTCAATTCCCTACTATTGAGAACTTAAGATTGTTCACAGCTTTTCTGGACGAACACCCACCACTGATTTGGTGCCCACCTCGCTCCTGGCGCAAAAAGCGCCCTCCACAGAAGCGCTCTGCCCTCGCAGCCAGCATCTGGGACCAAGACCGCACAGGCACGGCTACGCTTCCGCGCGTGCGCAGCCCAGGCTGTCCGCCCTGCGCCTGCGCAACGGGCGCACGCGGCGGGCTCCACTAACGTGACCCACTGAGGCCAATCCCAGAACGTTGCTGCTCTCCCAAGGGCTTTCGCCTACCCGCTTTCCGCCGGACTAGCCTGGCGCCTCCCCTGACTCCCGTCCGTTGAACGAATGTGCCAAGGTGTGGAGGGCCCACACAGTGAGTACAGCTTGAGCCCCGGATACTTCAGGTGTATTTGCCTTTGGCTTCCTTCTGGCCCGCCCCCGGATGCGAGACGGGCCGCCGGATATGACGTCAGCGCGCGCCCTCTTCCTGCGGAACCTAGAGTCCATGCGAAGCAAGAGCAGAGCTGTTGGCGCGCAGCACCCCCTGCTGCCCACTTGCGAGAAAGTGTGTGTGATTGCAAAGTGCGGGGCTCAAGGCACAAAGTATATGCGGGGAGCCCTGATAGAAATTTATTTACTCATGCATTCATTCACAATTTTATATCTAGCGTCTCCAGTTTTTTCAGTTCTGACCATTGAACCAGGGGCCTCCTGCGTGCTTTGTAAGCGCTCTACCACTGAGCTACACCCCCAGCCCTCGCACCTCTGCTGAACATCTTCAGTGCCAAGCACAGGGCCCACTGTCAGTGTTTCTGTCTGCCAGCACATACTAGGTATTCTGGTTTTTTTGTTTTTTTTTTTTCCGGTACCGAGAATCGAACTCACGACGTTGCGCTTGCCAGGCAGGCGCTGTGCCGCTGAGCTAAATCCCCAGCCTCATACTAGGTATTCTGAACTGACATGGAAAGACCCAGCTGTTCCTGATGCCAAATGCAAGCCAAGTTCCACCTATGCGTTTATTAGCTAAATACTTGTTGAGGGCCTACTATGTGCTAGGCACTATTCTGAGTCCTGGGAACTCTGGAGAGTAAGATATGACCTGTCTACTCACGGAATATATAGTGTGTATTTAGTAACTAATAATAATAATAATAAAATGACAGCTAATATTTATCAAGTCCTTCCTCTGCGCCAGGCACTAGACAAAAGGTTTTACATGTGCTGTATCTCACAGTACCCTCAGAATCCCGAGGTAGCTACTACTATAATCATGCCCATTTCACAGAAGTGGGACTAAGGCACAGAGAGAGGCTGCTGTTTGCTCCAAATCACACGACTGTAAGTGGTGGAACAGGCTGAGTCTGGCTGGTACTCTCCATGCTGCAATATAGTATAACCACGAAGGCGGACGTGGTAATCTGCAGGTTGAGGCCATCCTGGGCTATACAGTAAGTGGAAACGGAACTCTGTCAGTCACGCGAGGACAATGTTCTGTCTGTGATGGCTTCTGCTGCATCCTAATCCTTGACACCGCCGTCTTTTCTGAACGCATTAGTTCATAAACAGACGTGCTGCTTCAGCTTGGGTTGGGGGAGGTGAGCAGGGATCTCCTCCCTCATTTCATTTCTCACAGCCCCACTGCAGCTGGATCTTCGGCCCTTGCCCTCAGCCGAACTTTCCAGTGCTGTGGTTTCTACCTCCCTTTCTTCTCCCCTCAAAGACCGGACTTGTTCCAGATGAGGGAATGAGGCAAGGCACCCAACACTGAGCCTAGACACTGTCATTTTCTTTCTCAACAAAGCTTGGATTTTGAAAGCTTCTATGACTCACTTTGAATCCATCCTTTGCCACCTACCACCTATCTCGTCTCTTACCATGAAGAGATCATTAGCCTCTACCTCAGTTTCCAGGGGAAAATAGTTGACGGTGTAAAGTGTTGGGCACCCGGGAAACAGTAATGGGAAGAGAGCCGCTCTGAGCCAGCCTCACGGTGCAGTCAGCCTGCCACACTGTGGCCCGGGAAAACCAGAATAACTTACACATTTTGGGCTTCAACAGCCTTGGTAAATTTTTACTCCTGTACCAGTGAAAAGAAAGTACCTTCCCAGCTGCCTCAATTCTCCTAGTGCGTTCTGTTTAATTTGGCTGAGAGTAAGAGATACCTTGGAATAGTAAAAAGACTGATTAACTTTTATTCTTTTTTTTTTTTTGTACCGGGAATCAAACTCAAGACCTTGTGCTTGCCAAGCAGGCACTTATGACGCTGAGCTATATCCCCAGCCCAAGACTGGTTAACTTTTATTTTTCAACTAAATCTTATTTACTTAGTACGGGGATTGAACCCAAGACCTTCAAACTGAGCTACATCTTCAGCCTAATTAATTAATTAATTTACTATTTAATTTTGAGACAGGGTCTTGCTAAGTCACTGAACTGCCCAGAATGGGATTGAATTTGTTATCTTCTCACCTTGGCCTCCCAGAGTCTGCGATTACAGACATGTACCACCATGTCTGGCTTTAATTTTTATTTTTGGAATCCCCCCACCCCCCGTACCAGCAATGGAACTCACGACCTTGCACTTGCCAGGCAGGTGCTGTGCTGCTGAGCTAAATCCCCAGCCCTACTTTTGGAATTGATATTATAGACTAACAGCGTATCATTTCAAATGATATAAAGGGATAAGCAATGAAAACTGAGCTTTTCCCCCCTCCCCTTCCACAGCCAACCTCTTCTCTCTCCAGAGAGGTTTTTTTTTTTTTTTTTTAACCTCTTCTCTCTCCAGAGAGGTTTTTTTTTTTTTGGTCTTTTTGAGACAGGGTCTTGCTGTGCAGTTGACCTTGAGCTCACTTTGTAGCCCAGGCTAGCCTTGAACTCGAAATAGTCCTCCTGCCTCAGCCTCCTGAGTGCTGGGATTACAGGCATGCACCACCACACCCAGCTATGGTCTGGGGGCTTTTCCTTTATAGTGCAGCCTAATATCACTCCATATCAAACACACAAAACAGCCTAGCATGGTGGCATATGTTTGTAATCCCAGCAATTGGGAAGCTGAGACAGGAGGATCACTATGAGTTTAAGGACAGCCTGGGATACACAGTGAGTTCAAGGCCAGCCTGAATGGCATAGCAAGACTGTCTCAAAAAAATAAAAAAAAAAACCAGTTGTCTTGAATTGCATTAGGTAGAGTCAGTTAGCTTCCGAGAGACATTTTGGAGCCCTCTGTCTCTCTTACTCAAAGCAAACTCGCTGGAGTAGACATGGATTAGTTTATGTTCCTGGAAAATATAGCAGCCAAGGAGTTAAGTCCACACCTCTTCCCCTTCTGCTGTGTGGTTGCGAACTGCTGCCAAACAGATGTTGCTGACATTGAAGAGCTTTCTCAACTTGGAAAGAAAAAGCAAAAGAGGGACCCGAGAGGAATTCCAGTCCAATGGGAATTATGCCGCCATTGTGAAGACAGGACAAGGGGCATGAGATGACCAGAAGCAGGAAGCTATGGAGCGGCAGTCATTGCCTCCATGCAGGGAGACCTGTGAAGTGCTTGCCCACATCACCCCACTGACTGTGCAGTGTCACTGTCACTTCCACCTTTCAGAGATGGCAGTGAAGCCCGAAGAGGTTGTCTGCGTCAGGTGCTGAGAGGACCCATTCCTCCCCGCAGACGACCAGCTGGGAGTGGCTCCTTTTGGGCCACCCTGAGCACCACCTCCAAAGCTGAAAATCACTCACCTGTCATCAGAGGGGGCCGGCTCCCGTGAAACCTGCTTGGAGCGGGGAGGCAGGATGCAGGGGAGGAGCTTACCAGAGGGGAGGCCAACCGCAAACTGCCTGCAGACAGACCCCTGGGCAGCCCGAGAGTGCCAGTGGTGCCTCTGAGGCATCATCTGAAATTGGAATTTTACTGGTCATTCTGCATTTCCTGGCAGCCCCAGGAGGTGGGAGGAGGGGCACAGCCGCTCAGGCTCTAGGCATTTGTGAGCGGCCAGCGGCCAACACACACAGCAGGAGGCAGAGGGCAGCAGTCCGTAAAGGGGACCTGGAAGGACATGATCAGCACCCCCTGCAGGCAGGGGCTCTGGGGACAGCTCACTAAACAATCCTGGAGGACTGGAAGCTCTGACCAGTCAGGTGCCAATGAGCCAGAGGAGCAGCAGGGCTGCCCGGTTCCCGCTCGGGGCCCTCCCCTCGTCCACTGCCCTCTGAGGATGCCTGCCCCTTTGCAGCCATCCCCCTGCTGTGTGGGGCTGAGGCTTCCACCGTCTCTTCTGGTATTTCTGAACCGCATTTGAACGACGGACCAGACTTTCCTTAGGAGGATCTTAGAAAGTTGTCCCCTAAGAAAAAACTCCATGACCCCAGGAAGGGAGAATATGGGGAGAAGATAATCACCCTGTAACTAAGCAGATTATTTCTGGAGGAGCTTTAGATCTTTCCTTAAAATTCAGTGATCTTCTCTAAGGGCTTAGAGGGGTCTCTACACTTTCTCTGCAGGATTCTGCCTGCCAGTTACAGGACTCTGGGGGTCTGTCGATTGGACCTAGAGGAGCCCCAACGCGCAGAGGGAAGTGAAAAGAGTGAGGAGCGGCAGCGGCGTGACTCTATTTGTATACAAGGAATAAAACTCCACAACCACCACCTGCAGGGTCCTCTCTGTTTACAGGCACCTGTGTATGTGCAGGTGCCCACATATCCCTGTGGACTGGTGATGCGGGGAGGTTGGGCTTGCCGGGGGTAGAGACTCCCCCCTTTTCTTGTATGAGTTTTAAAGTGACAGCAGCATTTTTGTAACACGAACAATTAAGTAAAATATGAGGAGCAGCTACTGATAGGCACAAGAAGCAGCTGTCGCACCCCAGGGCCAGCCCACTTGTTCTTGCTCCTCAGAAAAACTCTTGCGCCCTGCACTGTCCATAGCCAAGCTGAACTAAAACCTAATGCAGCCCTCTACCTTTTCATTTATTTTTTAGCCTCCTTTTAGCCGCAATGAAGGAGGGAGAGTAAGATAGAAAAAAGGAGAAACATCCGGAAGTCAGATCTCTCTGGCAGCAGTGCTTAATCAGCTCCTGCCTTTACTGCAGCCATGCGTGCAGTGCCCATTAGAAGTACGGATGTTGCTGGGTGTGGCAGGGCACACCCGTAACCACAGTACTTGGGAAGCTGAGGCAGGAGGATTGCTCTAAGTGTGAGGCCAGCCTGGCTACATAGTGAATCTAAGGCTAGCCTGAATTACAGAGCAAGAGCTGTCTCAACACACACACACACACACACACACACACACACACACACACACACACACAAAGAAAAAAGTACGGATGCATTTGTTTGATCATATGGGGCAGCAGGAGTGCTACACAAGTGCTGCAAGCAACCTTTCTGAATGGGTCTCTGAATTTGAATTAGGTCTGGCCCTGAGGGCCGTGGTGAGGGGCTGGGGACATATGCTCACTTGAATGTCTCCATGATAGCTTTTCCAGGGTTTGTCCTCCAGTGACCCTCCACCTGTCTTACAGCTGGCCTTGGTCTTGGGTCTCTGGAATTGCCAGAATCTTTCATTCTCCCATGCCCAGTGGAGCTCCTGCCTCCTAGGAATAGCCTAAGGTTGCTGTTCACTGCCTTATGTGTTTAGAACCAAATATCAAGAAATCAAATAACAAAGGGAAGGTTCCTCAGGAAGCCAAGGGACAGGGGCTACCATCTCGCTGAAAGGAAAGCCAACCAGCCAGATGTCCTCTCTCTCCCAGATGAAGCCAGTGATAGTCACGCAGGATGCTTGACCCCACAATGGGCCCAGGAACCCAGAGAGCAGTGACACTGGACCACAGAGCAGCGTCAAGCCAGCATCCCCAGCACCGACTCTGTGGTCCTGATCTGCTGCCCCATCTAGGACTGTTCTCATACTCTCAGAAAACTCGTCCCAATGGCTGAGAAAGTCCAGTCTGTGGTTAAAAGGGCAACGCTGGAAGAGATAAGATGATGTCTCACAAGAGCCAGGCTGCCGACTAGCAGAGGGAGCGAGGCTGTGTGCACCTGTGTGACTCAGAGGGACAGGCCTAACAAAGTGACTACACAGACACAGTTATGACATGTAGTCTTCTGTCCCAGCCTGATACACATTCCAAGCGCCAGTATTTTCTGGAAACTTCCTCTGGGCAAAGCAGCAGGTTTGTTTTCCTAAGGTGCGAAACAATCACCAGAGCTCAGCAGGAAGAGCAGGCAGTACTATCAAACGGATGCACGTTACGTTGGTCACTCCTGGCGTCACCCCATTCCGGTCAAGAAGCCCAGACTGACGGCAAACTGAATTTGAACCACTCTCTCTCCCTTGGCTTCCCCAGCACCTGCCCAGCACCCGCCCACAACAGCCAAGAAGCTCCCAATTCCAGCAGAACTATCAAGAGCCCAGCTGTGATTCTCGGGGCTTTACACTGTTCAGACATTCCTAGAGTTTTTCAGGGAGAGTTGGGATGAATGACTTCTTTCTTATTTCCAGGACTGTCATCAAAGGCACGCAGGACAGGGTCCAGCGGGGTCTTACATGGGACCAGTTGACTGGTGTAACCAGTAGATTAGTTATAATCATGGGGGCAAGTAATGGGTGTAAGGGTCTTCCCAGTATGGTGGGGCTGGACGTAGAGGGACATGGGAGAACCCTGAAGTCCTACTTGGGTTTGCCAAAAACAACTCTCGTGCTCTGTTTATGACATATAAACAAAGTTTTCTGGTGACAGTGGGGTGGGGGCAGGAGCCACATCCTGAACAGAACCTGTCCACCCTCCTTCAAGGTGGGGCTGCGCAGCACACGCCCTCCCTTAATGACGACACCGTGGGAACAGCAGCGAACAGCGTAGGCAGGAGGGCTGCTGACCTGAAAGATTAAGCCCAGATCCAGGGTTTTTCCAGGGAGCCCAAGGAATCTATCTTTCCCCACCCACACCCACCAGGAAGGACCGACCCCCTCTCCCATGAAGCTCAAATTGCTGGTGAATATAGGAGATCACGAGTACAGCATCTATTACTTTATTTTGTATTCTGTTGATTTTTGTTTTCATCTGTTCCATTTTCCTCTGGCTTTTACTATTTCTCTTCTAGCTTCCTGAGATAGAAGCTCAACTTATTGCTTTTCAGCATATAGAATATATATCACTGCTTTAGCTGCATCCCACAAGTTTGATGTCACATTTTCACATCTTCTTGTTCTTAAGTTCCATTCCATTTGTCTCTTATAAATTATTCAATCCAATTCTTGGATTTCCATTTAAACTATAAAGTTCATCTTACTTTATTTGCAGAACTATGTGGCTACAGGCTGTAGAAAGATTGGAAAGAATAAAGATTCTGGGAAGTTTAGAGCTCTTAAATGCAAAAGAAGAGAGTCAAAAGGAATACAGTACTTTGATGGCTTCTGTGTTTGATATATTTCAGCTGAGTAAAAACTGCAAAATGATTTCTTTTTGGGGGGAAGGGATACTAGGGTTTGAACCAAAGCCCCCGAGCTACATTCCCAACCTTTTTATTTATTTACTCTTTTTCTTTTGAGACAAAATCTCACTAAATCACTAACTTGCCCCACTAGGCTCAAACTTGTGATCCTCTTGTCCCAGCCACCCAGGGTGCTGGGATTATAGACACCCAGCTGTAAACATGATTTCTTAAAATGAAACTAATCAACATGTAAGCAAAAGCTTCCAATACCCGTAGAGCACATCTTCATTTGCATTTTTATTTTGCAAAGCTGAAAATTGAACCCACGGCCTTGCACATGCTAGGCAAGTGCTCTACCACGGAGTCACACCCCCAGCCTGAAAGCCTTACTTTTAAAAACACAGTTTAAAGTTAACAGAAAATCTACCAACATTGCACTTAATTAGGAGCTCGAAAGTAGGAACCATCTAAACGTTGCTGATCTAGACTTATTAAACTTATTTCACATCATTGTGGTCACTTTTACAGCTGTTTAGACTTATTTTCAATCACATTACTGTTCACAGAATTCACAGAATTCATTAACAAGTTAGTATGGTACATCCAAGGGTTTTCAGGAGCACAGCAAAATAGAATAGAGGCCCGAAGCTGCTTGAGTGTGGAACTTGAATCTGATTATTTAGGTAGGTGTCTAGAGCATTATTGCTTTATTAGTCCTACTTTAAAATAGAATAAATGACCCCTAGGAAACCCCCCCTGTGTTCCGCAGGCTGCACCTCGGTTCCCTCACAGCAGAGCTGACTCGTGAGTGCCAAACCACCCCCGCCCCCAAGCCGCGCGTCGTGCTGCCTAGGCAGGTCTAGGGCGGGCCGTGCCAGAGCAGTGGGCCTACATACGTGTTCCTGTAAAAGGAAAAGGTAGAAACATCTCCCACAACTTGCCGTCTTTCTCCACCGTCTTGTGGCTGATAGACTGCATTCACATATGGGCCTCTATGCAAAATTAAATTAGACCTAAGCAAGGGGGTGCTGTGAATGAGGGCTATGCTCCTACAGGAGCCACTGGCCATGCACGGGAAGACACTTGAAGCAACAAAAACATCTCACATCTCAGTGTGCAGGGAATGTCTCGAAGAAAATGTCCTTGATGGTCATGGTTCAGGGTGGCCGCTCAGCACAAACTCGTCAGCGACGTGAACTTGAAGACTTCTCAGGAGATTTCGGGGCTGGGTTTTCTTATTTTGTTCCATGTGAGTTTCCATTTTGACAAAGAGATCTTGGAGATTTTCTGGGGATGCTGAAGCTCTGTGGAACCAAGGAGAATGGGAATAGGGAACTGAGTTCCTCAGGGACACTGGCGCACCACTGCGTTTGGGGCAGGATCCCTGAGAGTGGTTGGTGGCCGCATCAGGTTTTGGGGACAGGAGCGGATGCTGTGTGCAGAACGCAAGCTGCCGTCTGGGCTTCAGTCCAGCTTCTTGTTGTTGTCTGTACTGTGCACAGAAGCTAAAAAGTCAACGATGAGCTTGGCTGTCTTCCTGGGTCTCTCCATGACCACCGAGTGGCCGCAGTTTTCCAGAAGTTCCACTTGGCAGTTGTTGATTGACTTGGCCAATATGTCTGCCCCACACACATCAAGCACCTGCCGGGACAGAGAGGCAATGAGACAGTAAAAGGTCTGGCCATCCCGTTGTACTCTGGGTGGAATTTCCACCAAGGCCTGGCAGGGGTCAGGCAGCCAGGGTGGGTGAATTTAGCGACCAGGCCACTTTGCTGCTGGGGATTGTGACTGTCGGGTGGGAGTGTCCAGCATGGCTCCATTTCGCTCTGTCACTCAGTACCTGGAAGGACACTGCTGCCAGCAGTGTTGAGACAGAAAACAGTACACTGTCCCTGACGGTGGGGAAGTTACAGTGTGGTGGAGTAGACAGGTCAAAAGACTAGCACGCTACTGGGGGAGGACCCCAGGTGTGAGGGAGCACAGGGAGGGAGGCGCATGGATGAGAAGACATCACTTGTGAGCACCAGGAGACCAGGAGGCAGCATGGAAGGAACCAGGGAGCTTGGTAAGCAAAGGCCATGAAATAAGACAGCACGGAAGCCTCTGCTATCGGGCCTCTGCCAGGTGAGGCGAACAAAACAAAACATACAGGAACTGATCGTATCTGCAACAGGCCCACAGAATCAGGCTCTTTCCTTGAAGCAAAACAGACTTCAGAGTCTAGGAAGAAATCCGGGACATGGGGCTGAGGCCAGCTGTGAGGCAGGGGCATGTGGAATGGAACATCTGTTCTGTGCTAAGTGGGGAATGATCACTTTCATGTCCATGATCTCCTTTGAGCCTTGCTATTACCCCTAGTAGTAGTGGGGTGCACGTAGGGGCTGGGCCACGTGCTCTTGGTCACAGCTACTAAAGGGCCAAGGCAGGGCTTCAGCGCAGATTTCCTGACTCCAGGGCCAGTGCTCCTGCTTCTGCACTGTTTCCACAGGACTGTGGGTGATGGTCTCTCCCTGTTGGTCCCCGGGAGCCCCAAATCACCTTTGAGGCTTTAGGATGAAGAAAGGCCTTCATTGTTCTGGTTCTCATCTCTGATCAAGTGACTCCCTGCTGGCAGAGCCTGGGTCCTGCTTCTGTGACTCGGGCACACAGAGCCTCTTTCAGGCACTTGGCTGTTGCAGAAGGGACATGTGCAACCCCCTGCTCCCCTTGTCCCCATTCCTGGGCTGTGCCATGCGGGCTGACCTAAGACAACACTCCCCTCGCTCCCCGCACACCTGGTGACCACAGCCTGAATGAATTCCTGCCTTTGTTTTCATCAGCCTGGAGAGATTCACCATGATAGCTTTCACTTGGGATCCCCCAGAAGTTCATATATTGGAAACTTTGTGCCTCTGCCCTCGCGAATGGGTTAACAAATTAATGACAGCGGGGTCTTTATGGCTGGACTGATGTCACTACCACAGGAGCAGGTGCTTTCGTGAGAGTGGCTCTGTTAAAAAGTGAGCTCTGTGTGGCACACTTGCTCTGGGTGTGCATGCGATGCCCTCCAGGCATTATGAGGTAGTAATGAGCCCTCCCCAGATGCTGAGCAGATGCTGTCCTCCTCCTGTTAGATTTTCCAGTCTCTAAAACTGTGAGACAAATAAAGCTCTGGCCTTTACACACTACCAAGCCAGGCATTCTGTTGTAGCCTCAGAAAACAAACCAAGATAGGGAAAGGCTCCCTTCTAATATCTTTTTCTCACAATATTCAATAGCACAGGACCCCTGCAAAGCCATGTGGCAGACCCTGCGGTTGTACCTGTACTGTGGGTCTTACAAAGGCTCTGTTTATCACTGCCTCTTCTTGCTTTAAACTTTATGAAGAGCTTTCAGTAGGATGTTATTTCTAAAAAGCCATTACAAGCAGAAAAGGAGCTTGCGGAAGTATAAATCAGTATTTCTTCGGAGGGACTCTAGGGCTTGAACTGTGGACACCACGAACCTGTAGGCCGAAATCCTTAGCTTCGGTACCTTGGAAGTGACTGTTTGGAAACAGGGACACTGCAGACGTAATTAGTTACGATGAAGGCATACTGGACCAGCATGGGTCCTAAAACGTGACTGATGCTTCTAAAAATGGGAAATGTGGACGCAGAGCCAGGCACATACAGGGAGAGCTCCATGTGCGGATGAGCGGCAGTCAGAGATTGCCAGCAAGACCGGAAGCCAGGCATGAGGCAGGGAGAAGATTCACCCTCCTGCCCTCAGAGAGCCACCAACCCCACCGACACCCTGATCTTAGACTGCCAGCCTCCAGAACCACGAGAAATAAATTTTTCTTGTTTAAGCCACCCAGCTGGATATTGTTATGGGAGCCCCACCAAACATGGACCATGTGACAAGACCTATTAAAACTTTAAACACATGAGCTCTTTGACCAGGAAATTTCACATCTAGAATTTACCCTTCAGAAATGCTCACACACTCACTCCACAAACACATGCATAATGATGTTCATGGAGGCACTGCTTAATAGCAAAACCAAGGGTTCTAAATGACCAACAGGTGGGGCACTAATTATAGTATGACACTGCCACATAATGGACTATCATGTAGCTCTTAAAAAGAATGAAGTTCACTGGGCGTGGTGGTGCATGTATGTATCCCTGGCACTCTGGGAGGCAGAGACAGGAGGAGCAGGCGACAATGGCTCACTGTGCTTCCCCTTTTTGGGATTTGTGGGCAGAGCTGGGGACTGACCCCAGGGCCTCTGGCAAGCTGGAATGTGCTCCAACACTAAGCTACACTCCCAGCTCCCTCTCTCTGGTTTTGTAAACAAGGTCCTCTAGGCCAAAGCCATGCCATTTGCTTCCATGCTGTTTAAGGCTGCTTCTACACCACAGGGCAGAATTGAACAGTTTTAACAGCCTGGATTGCAAAGCCAAAACTACCTACTGTCTAGCCCTTTACAGAAAGTTTTCCAACCTCTGCTTTAAGAAATATATGGAGACAAATTTGGGACATGAAAAAGTTTTCATGATAAACCTTTTGGTAGCTGGATGTGGTGGCGCACACCTGTAATCCCAGCACTTAGTAGGCCAAGGCAGGAGGATCCTTGTGAGTTCGAGGCCAGCCTGAACTGCACAGTGAGACCCTGTCTCAAAAAGACGAAAAACAAAAAAACCCAAAACTTTGGTAATCTTTGAAGGTTTTTTGAGTATATAGCTTTGACTTTTTCTTTTTTTTGAGACAGGATCTTACTACGGCTGGCCAAACTTGCCTTGAACTCCTAGGCCAGCACTGGCGAATCGTTTAGAGCTTTCAATGATACAAACAGCCCACTGCACACACACCACAGGTTTGCCACTCCTGTCCTAGGCTCAAGGAATCCCCATTATACATTCCTGAGTAGCTACAACTACAGATACACGCCACTGCGCACAGCTGGTAAAAAACAATTTAAATTGCCTTTCACGTTAAAAGTCAAATGTCAGAGTTCACAGGACTCTGCTCCTGTAAACACTGGCACCCGGCACAGATGTGTGTCACCTCTTTCTGACCACAGAAATCCCCCAGGAGGCTCACTTCATAAAGGACCACTTGCTGCTCTCAAGTGCTTTCACAGGGCCCTGTGACATACCTGGTCTTGTTTCCCCCAGATGATCAGTGTAGGGACCTTAATCTTGTCCATGTTCTGATGCAGACAGTATCTGGACTTCTCACTGACGATCTCTAAAAACACTTGCAGAAAAGGAAGACACAGTGAGTGTGTGCGGGCTTGTGCCCGAGGGCACAAGGGATGCGGGATGGCACAGTCAAGTGGCCACCACAGCCTCTCCTTGGGGGCCCAGAAAACAAAGTTGCAGAGGATTCAGAAAGAAAAGGCAGCGCCCTAAAGCTGCACTTGTACCAAGTTCCAACCAGAAAGAGCGCTACTTACACTTCCGGTAGAAGCTGTTATGAGGGATACGGACATCGACAAGGCCTTGCAGGATCTGAGGACCAACAACCCAAAGTCAGAAAGTAAGAAAAGGTTCATTCTCCCAGGCCCCTCGCAGCCCTGGGACAACCAAGGGCAAGAAAATCTAGCCAGGTACTACATTTGCCAAGGGCCAGGGCTACACACTTTCAGGATGCCTTAATCAGTGTAACTGAGAGATAGGCTCCTAAAAAGCCCTTTAAAAAAATGGGGGAGGAACATGAGCAGAGGGATAAGCGAAACCAGAGGACTCCTGCAGCATGTAAAAAGACAACCACTTTCTCCTGAGAAATTCTCTGCTTTGCTTTAAACACAATCAAGATAAACATAATATAAAAAGAAGACAAACATATCGAGGAATTATTCCCTGATATCCAAATGTAGAACAAAGTATGTTTTAAAAACAGAACAGCTGGAGATGACTGGGGTTTATTATATAATAAAGAAAAAACTACTGAGGGGCCGGGATCTAGCTCAGCAGCACAACTGCCTGCCTGGCAAGCGTAAGGTCCTGAGTTGGACTCCTAGTACAAAACAAAACGAAAAAGTTATTGAGAAAGTTCTGGGGAGGCTCCCATAGTGCTTTGTTTTGTTTTGGTTTTTTGAGACTGGGCAGCCCAGCCTGGCTTCAAATTCTCTATCCTGCCCCAGACTCCCCAGTGCCGGGATTACAGGCGTGCGCCACCACACCTGGCCTCCACGGCACTTTCTGGTTTGGTATCATCTTTGCCTTTCCTGCTGAGGGCGTTGGCCGGAACCTCGGCTACTCACCAAAGAGGTGTCTAAATGCTTGCCCTGCCTCAGAACTCTTACGCAGAGTACAGAAATCACATGAGCAGCTGTCGCTTCCTGTATCCACCTGGGAATTGACCTAAGCCACTTCAGTGCCCTGTCAGGAGCCCTGTGTGCTGAGGTGGGAAGACTCAGCCATGCTGCTTTGGGCTAAAGTGACCCTGAACATGACTAGAACAGGCCTGGCTCTCCAAGTGGAAGCACAGAAGCGAGACAATGACATTTGCTGAGCGATGTTGTGCTCAGCATTAGTCCTGTTCCCATGTACCTTCCACAGCGCACCCATCCACCCTGCGCCTCTGCTTGAGTGACGACGGGCACACCTGTCCTTCCTGTTTCCGCCTCACATGTGCAGGAGGCTGCTCATCCTGCATCCCCAGCGCATCCACCCTGCGCCCCTGTGTTATCCAGGCATCTCCCACCCATCCAACCCGTTCTCTCCCACAGGCCTCCGTCATGTGTGCACGCACATGCATCAACTCATGCATCCACATATCCGGAATCTACCCACCCACCCATCCTCCACCCTGAGTCATCGAGGCATTCTATCGTCCTCCCAACCTAGACCTGGGACTTCCTCAGCAAACACTGCTAAACACAGGGCACAGAACAGCCAGTTAAGGCGAAGCCCCTGATCTTACAGGGCTCCGAGTGGAAGACAGACCAGAAACCACAGTCACTACGCAAGATGGCCAGAAGTGCTGGGTGCTCGTGGTCTCCTGGGAAGGACGGCTGTAGGAGCTCCCAATGATTATCTCTCAGTGCTTTCCTACCCCTGACTACTCAAACCTTGAGAGTCTTCTAAAACACTGCTCACACGGTTCTGGAAGTGATCAGGATTTCAGAGGCAGAACACACCACAGAACCAGCTTCTGACTGCTTCCTCAGGACAAGCCATGCCTAGTGACTGCATCACGTTTACAACGGCTGAAGAGAACTCATTCTCCCGAGCCCTGGGGAAGACCCACCATGAAGTAGGCAAGGTCTGTGCCTACAACGGAGAGAAATAATTTGGAGCCATGAGGCCTCAGCTATGGACTTTGCTTTCCTGGTCCTGTCTTGGTCAGTGTCCTCCTCGGGACACAACACCTGACACGCACAACCCGCAGGAAGTGCGGTGTACTCTGGCTCATGGTTGCACCCATGCTTGGTCGGCTCAAGACGGAAAGAGCACGGCAGCGCGGCACAGCGGAGGGAAGCTGTTCGCGTCTCGGTGGCCAGGAAGCAAGGAGTAAGGTTGAGGGAAGGCGGAGTTGAGGGAAGTCAGCCTGAGGCTGCCGACATCCTACCTGATGCCTTCACCTACCATACCCTCAATGCAGCTCTTATGTGGCCTTCCAGCCTGCCACCTCTCCCTGCCCTGCTCAGAGAATGCTACCTTTAGCTACTTGGTCACTCAGGAATTGCAAGCCACTTGTGATTGCCGGGCCCCACTTCCAACCTCCCGGTAAGTCCTGTCTGCTCCTCCTCCGGGCACATCCTAGCTCTCCCCTCTCCACTGTGGCCACAGAGGTCCACACCATCGTGTCTCCACGTCACAACAGCGCCTGGATTTCTGTTTCCATTTATGCTCGCCTACAATCCCACAGAGTCTGCTACTGTCCTTAGAAAAACACTGGGCTCCTTCCCATAACTACAAGGCCCTATAGGATGAGCCCCGCAGTCCTCAGGTGCGTCTTGGGAGTGTGTGGTCACACTATGTTCGTCATCGTATTCAGTGTCACTTGCCTTTTTACTTAGGCCTCTCAAAAGCGTGCCGGTGCTCAGGCCTGCACCACATGGATGATGCCAGCTCTTCCATGGCTGACGGAATCAGTGCTGGCACAAATATCAAGGAGTACAGCCCCCATGAGTAAAAGCCTCAATTTTATGAGTGCAAAGTGCTCCTAAGCACCGCCCCTCCTTTGGTACTAGAGACTGAACCCCGGGCTGTGACAGTGACAACATCCCCAGCACCTCTGTTTTTCTGAAACAGAATCTAAGTTGCCCGGACTGGGCTTGAACTAGCAATACTCTCAGAGTGCTGGGATTCTGGGCATGCGCTGCCATACCCACCTAAGACTTCTTTTTTTTGTTGTTGTTTTTTTTTTTTTTCCAGTACTGGGAATCGAACTCACAACCTTGCGCTTGCCGGGCAGGCACTGTGCCGCTGAGCTTAATCCCCAGCCCCCAAGACTTTTTTTTTTAACTGGCAACGTGATTTAGCCCCTGCCTCCCTTTCCGACTTCCTCTCAACCCGTTCTCTCCCTCACCCCCCAGGTCTAAGACAGATGGCTCCTTCTACTGCCTGAATTTGTGCACCTTTTCACTTCTGCACACACTGATCCCTCTGACAGGAAGGTCAAAGCTACCCCTGGCTGCCTGTTTTTCAATCACCATATCATCTTCATGTCCTCTCAAAAGCATTTTAATTTGTAATTTTTTTTCTACTTGTTAATTGTCTGTCTCCTGCACTAGACTGATCTGCCCAGGGGCCCTTTCTGTGTTTCACATTTACAACTATGTCCAGCAAAGTCTGACATATCACAGGCACCCTGCAAGTATATGTGAAATGAATAAATAAAAGAGGCCGGGCATGGTGGTGCACGCCTGTAGTCCCAGCATTCAGGAGGCTGAGGCAAGAGGATCACTGTGGGTTTGATGCCAGCCTGGGCTACAAAGTGAGTGCAAAGCCAGCCTGAACTGCACAGCGAGACCCCGTCTCAAAAAAAAAAAGAGTAAGTGGTGGAAGAGGACACGATGGAGCTGACGGTAGATGCAGCACAAAATGCATGAGGAGCTGATACCCAAGCGCCTGGCAGAGGGCGGATGTGTGGCTGCTGAGATAATTACCTGCTGGGGCACCTTGAAGCGAACATAGGAGCAGAGCTGGAGCATCTCACTCATCTCTTCTGGGGTGGATGGGATCAAGGGAATCTTCTCTACAGCTTCTGGTTCCTGCAGCTCTTTGAGCCGCTGTACAAACTGATTGTCAGTTGAATACTGCAGGCCTGTGGGATTCAAACCAAAACAGCTTGACAGTACATCTACTTTGCAACAACCCTCATTTTATGTAGGGAACTTCCAGTAACAGCCCAAAGCTAACACATTTCAGGTTTCTTTCACCAGATTTCTTTTTAATTGGTACTGCTGTCTTTGCTATAAGACAAAACCATGTTTAGAGAAAGAAACAACAAAAATCCTTCAAGATACCTGTTTTCATGCTGGTTACTCACATTGTGGCCTGTGGACTAGGACTTTTGGGAGCCTACAAGAATCCTGCCTTAGCTTCCCGGAGTGCTGAGATTATAGGCGTGCTTTCATACGGTTATTGTGGAAATTAAACTCATATAAAGACCTTAGCAATTGAGAGCTCAATGCACGCTGAATGTTAACATTCACATTATATCTCAAAATATCTATGTGCTTCAAAGCACTATGCCCATTTTAACCACCCACCTCAAATTCTTTGTGGAACAGGGTTGGTTCCACACTTTAAGTCAGTCTGGTGATGACTCTGAGTATACAACCATTGTCTGGTTAAAGTCATCACTAAAACCTGCATATTTCTAAAGTTCCCATCAAAAGAGGATTCTAAAGACAGTCACAGCAGACACTGGCCACCTGTGTCATTACTGGGCCATGCCCTCTTCTCTGGTCACACACGGGATGCACTCACCAGCGGGACACACCAGACTCAGGCTGGAGATGTCTGACGGGTAGTAAGCAGCGTACACTCCGGCCACGTGGCCCCCCATGGAGGTGCCCACGAGGTGAAAGGGTTTCTTGTTCAGCTTAAGGCACTCTACAAACTAGGACGGGAAATGAGAAGCAGCGAGGTTATCAGTGAGACCACGGCAGTGGCGGGTGATCGCCCAGTGGAGACTCCGGCAGCACTGAGCTGGCCATGGGCAGTGGGAAATGCTGTGGGCAGAGGGGGGCTGAGACTCTCCTGGGCCCATTACTGAGACAGGCCTACGGTAAGCGTGTGCTTCCCCTCACTTGGCACAGGTGACTGAGGGGACGTTCCTAAGTGTAAAACCAGCAGGGGTTCCCCTAAGCCGCAAGTCAGGGAGCTTTTCCAGGAAGGCGCAGAGAAACTGTTTTCTGCCGTGGGGCTGCACATTTTCTGCTGCAACTGTTCCTCTTGCCATCGTGCGGCAGGACAGTACCTAGGTGAGTGACTGGTCTGCATCCCAGTGAGACAGTTAACAAAAACAGTGCTTGTTCCATTCAACCCAGCTATAACCCTTCTGGGTATCTTCCCCAAAGAAATAAAAGCATTGTACCACAGCAATATATGTGCACCCATGTTTATAGTGGCACAGTTTGTAATACTTAAATCTTGAAAACAGCCCAAATGCCCATCAACCAATGAATGGATAAAGATATGGTTTTTTTTTTTTAATATACTGGAGTACTACTCTGCCATAAAGAAGCATAAACTTGGGCAGGGGATATAGCTCAGTGGCACAGCACTTGCTTGGTAAGCACAAGGTCATAAGTTCAATTCCCAGTACCAAAAAAAAAAAAAAAAAAGGATAAAACTGAGACATTGAGCTGGGCGTGGTGGTGCATGCCTGTAATCCCAGCACTTGGGAGGCTGAGGCAGGGAGGTTGTCACAAGTTTGAGGCCAGCCTGGGCTACAAAATGAGTTTAAGACCAGCCTGAACTGCATAGTGAGACCTTGTCTCAAAAAGACCAAAAAAACAAAAACAAAAACAAAAAAACTTGAGACATTTCCAGCTAAATAGATGTACCTTGAGACCATACTCTGAAATAAATCAGACATGTTTAAATACCACATTGTTTCTCCGATGTGAGAGACCGAAAGTATAAATAAGGACCAAAATGTTAACAGATACTGGGAAATGGGAAGAAAATGTTCAAATAAGGAGGGGAACAAGGGAGGGAGGAGGGGGAAAGGAAAGAAGAGACGAGAAAAAAAATAGAAAAAAAAAAAAAAAAAAAAAGAAACAAAGCCTTTGTAAATAAGCAGGGGAAAAGGGATTGAAGAGTGGGGAGGGGGATGGGAAAAAAAGAACCAAGATGTATCACGAACAGGCAAAAATTCCCTATGTTGAATGTTATCCTTATGTATATCTAAAACATACCAATAAGTTTTTTTTAACTCTTTTTTTTTTTTTTTTTTTGCTACCAGGAATCAAACTTAGGACCTTGTACTTGCCAGCAGGCACTTGTGCCACAGAGCTATATCCCCGACCCCCAATAAGTTTTTTTTTAAAAAAAGGCCAGAAAGCCCAGGGGTCATAGTTGACTGACTCCTGCCCTCACTGACAGCCTGTACTGTCCACCCACCCATCAACTCATCTATCCAGCATCTAAGATTTTGTTATATATCTATTATGTATGAGGAATGGGGATCCACTGCTGAGGATACAGCAAAAGGCCAAAGAAATAAGGTTCCTGACTTCATTAAAGTATGTGGGTCAATGCAGATGGCAGGCAGTACTAAATACACATCATCTGGGAAAAATACCTAATGTTAACCTGAAACGTAGAGCTACTAAGTTCTGAAATGGCCATGGGCTGCCGTGACCAGGAAAGCCCAGCTAGAGAGACCTGGAGGTGGATGCTGAGATAGGACAGAATGCAGAGCACACCGTCCCTACCAGGCAGAAGTCTACCGCCGCCACCCCGCAGCTGGTAAGAGAAAAAATAGACCTCCAAAGAGGGAAACAGTCTTGAGGAATTCTGAACTCCCTTCTCTTTGGTCTTTTTGAGACAGGGTCTCGCTACGCAGTTCAGGCTGGCCTTGCGCTCACTTTGTAGCCCAGGCTGGCCTCGAACTTGCAACCATCCTCCTGCTTCAGCCACCCGAGTGCTGGGATTACAGGCGTGTGCCATCATGCCCAGCTGTGACCTCCCTTTTCCAGGAGCTGAGAAAAGGCCTAGGCTGTCTTCACAGGCAAGCGCAGGAGGCTTAGAGGAGCGCAGTCTGTCCTAAGCGCTGACCCTCAACAGCTGACCTAGGACGGCGTCGGGCTGCCACGTTACGAGGTAGTGCTTGTGGACGGAATGTGCGGCAGGCTGCTCACGAGCCAGGGTGGAAGCTCTTGCCTGCCCGCCAGCCCTGAGCATGCAGTGGTGGGCAAGACCCAGGCAGGGCAGTTGCGGAGGATCCTGCTTACCTGATGGATCCTCTTCACCTGTCCGTCTATGGACAGGTCATCCAGGGAGGAGCGGGTGGTGCCTTCATGTCCTGGCATGTCCACACAGACCAAGTGCAGGTTCTTCGGAAGGAACTGAGGATACACGGGCCCAGACAGTCAGTACCGGTGTGCAAAAGGTATCTACCCACTTTTCTGGCAAGGGTGCTGCCACGTACCAAGTGACCTGGAAAGCCATCCCCGGGGTTGTACGGTCCTGGGCCTCCTCCACTTTTACCCAGTTACTGTGCATAAGCAGTGCTGATAGCCTCCTGGGCTACAGACTCCCGGAGACTAATACACATATGAAAAGGGCTCAGCAGATAGCTGGAAATGGGGCACAAAACTCGGGCTAGCAGGCTTACTTTTCTTGTTTTCTTTCTTTCTCTCTCTCTCTCTTTCCTCCCTCTCCCTCTCCCATAACACAGCTGACTTGGATCTAGAATGGATGGTTCTATTTTCCCAGAGCCCTGGCCAGCTTCAGAGCCAACAGGAGAAATGCTTTCCCCCAAGCCATGTTTGTTTTATTTTTTGAGACAGGGTCTCCCTGGTCCTGAACTCACTATGTCACACAGGCTGGCCTTGAACTCTTTGCCTCGGCCTAAGTGCTGGGATTACAGATGTGCGCCACCACACGCAGCTTCCCCAAAACCATGTCTGATCAACCTATGCTGGTTTCAATTTTTCTAATTCTTGAGATGACTTTTATCTCACACCACCTTTTACCATACTGAGTTTCCCACTTTCAACGGGGAAACAAAAACATCAGTAGGAACAAACAAATATCCACTCACAAAGAAGGGGAGGTGGGAACAGAGGTGAGGAGTGAAGGCATGGAGATGAATGTCCTCCCAGTGGCATGTGGAAATAAGAACACAAGTAACTGGAGCACATATGTAAGCATTTTCCTCTGGGTGTGGAAAATACCTGGGACCCCGCAGGTATGGTCAAGGACACCCCTTCCATGACTCCTGCGAGCCCCAAAATTCTCTAGCTGGGCATTCTTAACAAGCACAACAAGCACACCAGGACAAAAAGTAACTTGGACAGTTATTCTAGAAGGCTGCCAGATCAAGACTGTTTCTCTAAACGGCTAAGATGAGAAAACAGACTCAGGCCTGGTGGCACGCGCCTATAATCCACTCACAGAGAAGGGGAGGTGGGAACAGAGGTGAGGAGTGAATGCATGGAGACGAATGTCCTCCCAGCACTACAGGAAGCTGAGGCAGAAGAATGGCAAGTTCGAGCCCCGCCTGGGCAACTTGGTAACTCAGGGAGACCCTCCTTCCAAATAAAAAATGTCTGAGAAAGGGCGAGAGATGCAGCTCAGTGTGAAGGCTCTGGTTCAATGTACACGGCAGGGGAGCCGGGTGGCGTGGTGGAGAGTGGGCTGAAGTACACGGAGCGCGAAGGGGAAGGCATGAGAAGAAGGGTATGAGGGGAAGAGAAGAGTCCAAGAACAAAGGCTTGTTAAACGCTCGGCCTTGATGACTGGCAGCTCTGAGCTGAGGCTGGGGCAGGAATAGGAACCTCCACTAAAACGAGGGGAAAAGGTTTCTAAGGCACAGATTTCACAGATAATGTCCAACTCAGCCAATTCTGCCTGCGAGGGTCATCTGAATGAACTCACTACACTGTGTTAGTTTGAAGACTGAACTTCAGCTGTGGCTCTGGGCTCCCTCTGCTGTCCACTATGGCTGGGACATCACACGCACACGGAAGCCCCGTCCTTCTAGTGGAGAAACGGCAAACCGCACCTTGACCACGCTGAGCCACATGTCCTTGTGCGCCGAGAAGCCATGGAGCATGAGGATGGACGGCCTGTGCCCCGGCCTGCCCCGGAAGGAGTAACAGAACTGATAGTCTTCGTGGTGCACGTAGCGAACCTGCATGCCCAGCGTCCTCCGCCAGTACCTGGGGAATAAAGGCAGAACAAAGGCAGCACGCTCTTGGTAAGTGGCTCTGAGGCACACACGTTCTCTCTCGGTATCCCACCTAGTGGTAAGTCAAACACTGTTCCCAGTTCTTGGCCTCTGGGAGCCCCCAGGTCTTCACTTTCAGGAAACACTAAGAAGGGTTTTGGGGGTACTGAGGACAGAACCCAGGGTCTCGGCACTGAGCTACATCCTGTCTTCTCCTTTTTTTAAACAGTCTTCTTAACTTGCAGAATTGCCTCTGCTGGTCTTGAACTTGCAATGTTCCTGCCTCTGCTTCCCAGAGTGCTGGGATTATAGGCATGCCCCATCCTGGCTGGCTGGGAGTGTTTTCTTAAGAAAGCATAGCACCTAGCATGTCACACACAGCAACTTTGAGTTAATGTCTATTTCTCGGTACTCTGAGAGTGTTAACTTGTTTCTTGAGGACCTTGTGTACTCGTTCTCCAGCTTTTACTCTTTACAACATATGGTAGCTGCTTGAGAGCTCAGCTGCTGGTTACATAAGACTCGGCAGTGCTGCAGTGTGGTCCCGACTCGATTTCAATATGAAATTTCTATCAAAACAAACTCAACTCTGTGCATGAAGAATCTCTCCAAAATGAAAGATAACTCAATTAGAGACTCACTTTGGGATATATCTGACACTAAAGAACTCGCCAAATCTTGTAAAAGCAGATAACTGAAACCAACTAGTTTTAACCACTTGTACAAAATAAGGGAAGAAGGAGGTAAGGATATAGATTCATATTTACTTGTATCTGCACACCAAAATGTGGGGGAACACAAGCCACTAATAAGTATCTGAGTGGAGGTGGAGAACAACGGCAGGGGGTAAAGAAAGAACAGACATGGGAGGGATAGTCTGTGCTCTTTTTGATACTTCTTCAGTGACTTCACTGCCATTTCCATTTCTACTAAAAATATAATAGAAGCCGGGCATGCTAGCACACGCCTGTAATCCCAACACTGGGGAGGCTGAGGCAGGAGGACTGTTGCGAGTTCAAGGCCAGCCTGGGCTACAAAGTGAGCTCAAGGCCAGCCTGAACTGCACAGCAAGACCCTGTCTCCAAAAGACAATAAATAAACAAATATATATATATATATAATAGAATTGGTTAGCTTAAAAGCTCATTTGATAATGAGGAAGCAACCATTTCAAAATTCTAAGTCACAGCATCCTAACGTTTGTTCTTTCACTCAGATGTCAGCTTATCCATTTACTGACTGTATGATCTTGAACCTCAATTCCTTCATAGATGATACAGAGAAATGCTGCATTCCAGTAAGAAAATGGCAGAGGTTGAAAAGATAATCTACATATAATGTTTTACACAAATCCCAGTATCTGGTAAATATTCAGTGAATGGTAGATACTGCTACTACAGAAAAGCAATTCCGTCTTTGCAATGTATCATTTGCCAACACGCAAGACAAAAGCTGGGGGAAATATCTGCAACAAACACAACAGCCATACTTGATATTTTTATCTGTACTGCTGCCTTCCCTTTCTCTCTTCTTTGTGGTGCTAGCGATCAAGCCCAGAGCCTTATGCGTGGTTGACAAGCACTTTGTCACTAAGCTAAACCCCCAGCCAAAGACTGATATCCTTAATGTACAAAAAAGTTCACAAATTGATATATAAGTCATGCTAAAAGTACTGGGAACCATGCAACTTAATCACAGGAAAAATAAATAGAGCTATTAGTGCTGAACAAATATAGGAAACAAATTAATAATTACAGATATAACTATCACACCAAGATATACCCATGGACTTGCAAATTATAAAAGATTTTTAAAACCAATTACAATGTTTAACCCTTATATGAGCAACCTAGTATTTCTTTTTTCTTTTTTTTTTTTTTTTTGGCTTTTTTCCAGTACCGGGAATTGAACTCATGACCTTGTACTTGCCAGGCAGGTGCTGTGCCGCTGAGCTAAATCCCCAGCCAGAGCAACCTAGGATTAATGATCAAGAATCTTTAAAAGCCTCACGGGCTGGGAACACAGCACTCGCTATATGTGTGAGGCCCTCATTGACCCCGGCACTGCAGGAAATTAAAACTACACCAAGAAAACCATGCTCTTTAGCCTAGTAATTATTCTTTCTTTTTTTTTTTTTTTTGAGACAAGGTTTCACTATGTAGTCCAGGCCGGCCTTGAACTCAGTATGTAGCCCCAGCTAGCCTCAAACTTGGGGCTATGCTCCTGCCTCAGCCTCCTGAGTACTGGGATTACAGTGCACTACCACATGCTACTCTTCTATGAATAATTTATCCCAATAAAATAAGCAGAAACCCTGAGGAAAAAAAATTTAAGGTATACAGAACAGTGTTATTTAAATTGGAAAAAACCCAAATACTGTATTAACCTTAGTGTCCATTAATAGAAAACATATAACATAAATCACAACATATCTTAGCCAATGTAATACTTTGCTGTTAAAGAGGTTTTCAAAGAATATTCAGTAACATGGGAAAATGTTAATGACATGATGTCAAAAGCAGGACCAAAGTTTTCATACTACTAATTCCAACTGTGCTAACATGTTTTGTGCGTACACAGAAGATGGGGCGAAGACCAACAGGAGGAGGCACGGAAGAAAAGGGCTCAGGAGTAATCTGGATCTCCCTGTGTTCCCTCTGCATCACCTTCACGCTCCCCGCAGCCCTCACAGGAAGCACAGTGTGACGGCAGAGGAGAGCAGCGGCCTCGCGAACAGGCGGGGCTGAGCAGCTACAGGACACGCTAGTGGCGGCAGCTGGCGACCATGGGGAGGGCGGGCCAGGAGCTGGAAGCGGCGGAGACCCGGGCCCGGGACGCGGAGAGCTGGACCCCGCGCCAGGAGAGGCAGGGCCGGAAAATGCGCCCGGACGCCAGGCTGAGGAGCTGAGCACTTCATCGCCTGGCAGGACTCCCACCAGTCTCGCTTAACTGGTTTCCACAGCAAACCTCGGCCTGCAGCGCTAGGACCAGTGAGATGGCGGATGTCAATTTCAAATGATCCCCTCCCTCGGTGAGGCTACAGGCCCAGCTAAAATACTGCAGAAGACCCACGGCCCAGGTGTGAAAGCGCAGAACGCCGCGTCTCTGGGGTCACCACAGGAAGAGTACATTATCTCTGCGGCTCACAGAGTCAGAGATGAGGCCGACTGGCAAGCTTACAGACGGGAGCACAAGACTTAAGGTGAGAGGAGTGACTGTCTCAGGAGCAAGACCTTTTACAAACAGTACAGAAGTCAAATGCTCCCGTTCAGGACAGAAGTCAGCGAGGGCTCTACTGACCTAAATTGAGAAATCCAAAAAAGGAACTTCCCCAGTGCCGAGTCCTCGTTCTGTAAGTTTCTCCTCCAGTTAAAGGGAAACTCTGAAGAAAGTACTTACAGGTCTCTCTTTTTTTTAAAATTGTGGTAAAACAAACATGGCGTGAAGTGTATCACCTTAACGTGTAATCCAGTGTAGCTTGCTGTGGAGGTCAGCTCCTTGTGGCTGTCAGATGGAGGTTCCCGCGTCTGTGCTGGCTGTCCGCTGAGGACTACCTGCTTCCTAACACTCACTGTGTTCCCTCCCACTGGCCCTCGCCAACTTTCAAGGAGCAGCGGCACTGAGCCCTCCATGTGCCTTGCACCTCTCCGCCTTTAGGGGTCATGGTGATTACGTGAGGCTCCCGTAGATAATGTCCTTGTTACTTACTTATTTTTGGTACTGGGAGTCAACTCAAATGTCCTTGTTTTGAAGTCCATTGTATACAACCTAACACAGTTACTGCAGGCAACACTGCTTCATCACGGAATGCTGTGTCAGCAGTCACAGGTTTGGGGGTTGGGGAGGGACATCTTTCAGATGCTAATGTAGTAATTCTGCTTACCAGAGGTGTGGAAAGTAAGCTTTTTCCAGATGGCTATCTAGTTGGCCCTTCTGCTTCAAGGAATGCTACCTTTGTCAGAAATCAAACCTATTACTAGACTTGATTCAGTACTCGACTGTATTACTAGACTCTCTAGTTCCACTGGTCTGTCTTCCTCAGTGCCCGTTTCACACTGACTTGACTTTTGTAATATTATAATTAGTCTTAATAGCTGGTAATACAAATCATCTTTGTTCTTCTTAGAAATTGTCTTGCTTAATTGGTCCTTTGCTTTTCCTTACAAATTTTTAGTATCAGCTTATTAAAGTCCATCAAAAGGCTGGGTGTAGTGGTGAACATCTGTGATCCTACCTACTCAGGAGGCTGAGGCAGGAGGATCACAAGTTTGGGTCATCTTGGGCAACTTAGCGAGACCCTATCTCGAAATTTAGAAGAAAGTTTTTCCTTAAGTCTCTTTTTTGAGACAGGATTTAGCTCTTATTTTCCACACTGGTGTGGTTTGTTTTTGTTTTGTTTTTTTGTTTTTTGTACCAGAAATGGAACTCAGGACTTAGCACTTGCCAAGCAGGTGTCATACTGCTGAGCTCTACTCTTGGCCCATTCCACACTGGCCTTGAACTCACTATGTAACCCAGGCTGGCTCTGAACTGGAGGAAATCCTCCTGGTGCTGGGACTATAGGCATATGCCATCATACTCAATTTTCAAATAAAAAAATTAAAAAGGGGTGGGGATGTGGTTCAGTGGTGATCACTCCTGCATTCAATTACCAGTACCATAAACAAACCAGAAAAAAAATTCCATAAAAAAGAAACCTGTTAGTTGGGCGCGGTGGTGTACTCCTATAATCCCAGCACTCTGGAAGCTGAGGCAGGAGGATTGTTATAAATTCAAGACCAGCCTGGGCTACCAAGTGAGCTCAAAGCTAGCCTGGACTGCACATCGAGATCCTGGCTCAAAAAGACAGAAAGAAAGAAAAGAAAGAAAGCAAGAAGGGAAGAAAGGAAGAAAGGAAGAAAGGAAGAAAGGAAGAAAGGAAGAAAGGAAGAAAGGCAGAAAGGAAGGAAGGAAGGAAGGAAGAAAAGAAAGAAAGAAAAGAAAGAAAGAAAAGAAAGAAAGAAAGAAAGACAAAGAAAGAAAGAAAGAAACCTGTTGTAATATAGTGAATCTGTACATGACTGCAGGGAGATCTGACATCTTTAGAGTAATGTCTTCCAACTTGCAAATATACTTCCATTACCTGGATCTTTTAAAATTTCCCTCATAAATACTTTGTAGTTTTCTGTGTAGAGCTTGCCATGTTACTCTTTGTGTTATGATTAGTTAATTTATAATTACTGATGCCATGGTAAAGAACACCATTAAACTCTTCATTTTTCATTTGTTTCATTTGTTGCTGGTACAGAGATACATTTGGTTTGTGGTTACTAATCTTGTATTAATCATCCCAACCAAACTTACTTATTAATTCTAACAAATTATTTATAGGTTCTTTCAGATGGCCTACGTACACAATCCTGTCATCTGCAAACAATGCTAATTTTATTTCATTTCTAACTCATATCCCTTTTACTCTCTTAAATTAAATTATTTACTGCATTTTTTAACCCTGATTTCACAACTAAGTTTCTTTGGTAGAGCAAAAACCTTGGAAAATCCCAGGAACAGTCTCGGTATGTTCATCACACAGGGAAAACCAGAACTGCCGCCAGCAGCAGAGGAAGCCCTGCACCCAGGCAATCACAGCGCCCCCGCTTGCCGCTCTGCTGACTCACATGAAGCATCTGGCACCTCCTACAAGAGCAGCCACGGCCCACGTCACTGTGGAAGTGGGCTGGCCACACTCCGGGGCCACTCCGCCCCAGAGAGCTGCCCTGGGGACGGGCTGCAGCCTCTGAGGACACCTGAGCCCAGCCCCCGAGGAGCTGGGAAGACCTGGAGGGAGCCAGGAGTGCATGACGGGATGGCTGCACCCCGCCCTTGTGGTTTTTCAACAGGGCAGCAGGGGTGGGGTGCAGCAGGGCCACCTCTCCGGCCTGCAATTCCTGTTTGCCTGGCAATCCTGAAAATTAACTGATGCACCTATTTTGCAAGCTGATCCCACTGGTGGTCAGAAAGCCTTTGGGATAGCTGTAATTAAGGGAGATAAGTGACTCCTGGTAAAGCTGCTCATTGTATGACAAGTAGGGTGTAAGTGTTACTTGCATCCTCGGAGGAAACAGGTTGTACTTTTCAGCGAGGTAGAGGGAGCGACTCAGGATTTCTGACAGCGTCGGCAGTGGCGCCACGGGTGCTGGTACTATGATCATGATCCTGCATGTCACAGTGCCATCTGGCATGATCTGAAAGGATTTCTAGGACTTCCATCCTCCTCAACCAGCTGGGGTTTCTTCGTGTTTATCTTCCGGCTGCAACTCTGAGCTGTGTGATCAGCCTGGGAAGGCTTTCAGCTCACGGGCATTGAGCTGGGCATGGCGGGGCGTGCCAGGAGACACAGGCAATGGGCCTGCTTGAGCCCGGGAGTTTAAGACCAGCCTAGGCAATATCACAAGACCCCATGTCCAGCATTTTCCGTAACATTCAAAAGGTGGAAACAACTCCAAGTGTTCAGCAACAGCCGAGCGGATAAACAAAATGTGGTCTGTTTTTCCTGCTATAAGAAAATACCAGAGATTGGGTAATTTATAAAAAGAGGTTTAGGGCTGGGGATATAGCTCAGTGGCACAAGTGCCTGCCTGGCAAGCGCCAGGTTGTGAGTTCAATACCTGGTACCACAAAAAAAAAAAAAGAAAAAAGAGGTTTATTTTGGTTTATGTTTCAAGAGCCCGGAAAGTCCACACACATGGTACCAGCCTCTGCCCAACCTCTGTCCAGGGGTTTGTGCTGCTTCCACTTGGAGCAGAAAGCAGAAGGGACTAGGCGTGTGCAAAGGAGACAAAACAGGAGAACTGCCTTGCTTTACAGCAACCCTCTCACTCAGTACATGGTTCAGTCCCGCTAGAACTGTACAAATCCCTAACAACTGAATTGCTTTTTTTTTTTTTTTTTGGTTTTTGTTTTTTTGGTTTTTTCCAGTACCGGGAATCTAACTCACGACCTTGCGCTTGCCAGGCAGGCGCTGCGCCGCTGAGGTAAATCCCCAGCCCCCTGAATTGCCTCTTAAAGGCCCCATGGCCTCTCAACACCCTTACTCTGGCAGTCAAATGTCAGCATGAGTTATAGAGGGAAAACCATATTCAGATCGTGGCGCATAAAATGGAATATTATTCGGCCATAACAATGACTGAAGTCCTGATTCACAGTACAGCATAGGTAAACCTTGAAAACATTGTGCTAAGTGCAAGAAGTTCGACAGGAAGGTCTCATATTGGATGACTCCACTTATATGAAATGTCTAGCAGAGGCAAATCCAGATGAAAAGTAGATCAGTGGTGGTCAGGGGACAGAGGGTGGGAGAAGCGGGGAGTGACTGCTAACGGGATGGGGTTCCCTGGGGAGATGGAAGAGCTCTGAATTACACAGTGATGATTGTAAAGCACTGTGAATATATGAAAACCAACAAACTGCACACATTAACATGGGGAATTTTATGTGAATCTGACATCAATAAAAATCAAACATTTGCTATGAAGTAATTTTTCCTCTTCAAAAATCAAACATCACTTGGCATGCACAAGCTAACAAACAGCATTGCAAACAAAACCAAACGAGCCCCCAGATATCTCAACGACTCTGACCCTGGACTGCAGCCTTCCCCTCCACAGCCTGGCGACATAGGGGTCGGAAACCACTGCAGCATCGGGGCTGGTTTCCACAGCAGGTGAGCAGAAGGGGCCTTTCTATCATCACCCCTCTGTGACAGCCGTATCCATGGTTACAGTCCACATCAGGAAACCGCACTCTCTGCTCCCATTCCGTTTGTTCAACAGGAAACAGCACTTGAGTGTGGAGGCCCATGGTGCTGAGGCGGTGCCACGAGGTAGGAATACAACTGCGGCCTCCCCAGCTCAGAGGCCACCCCGGAGCCCTGCTCCCGGGCACAGGACTCCTTGGACCAGTGCTGCAGGGGTGGTGGCACTTTTGCAGCTGGAGGCTTGGCTTTGTTAGTGAAGGTGGGTCCTGGTAACCCTCCGAAGGGTCACCATCCCATCTGCCCCAAAGGGGACGGAAAGAATGAAAGATGAAAGCTGCTTCTGTTCAGCTAGCTTCTTTTCAAGGACCAGAGCCCATCTGGCTGGTGACAAATCCCACACTAGCAAAGCACAAGAAGCCAGAGGAGGGCAGGTAAAGGGCAGCACTGCAGCCCCACCGCACTGGGCGCAGAAATGCCCGCTAGCCCCCGCAGCCTGGTCAAAGCCTGGTGGGCTCCCCTAGGGACAGGCCTGTTTCAGCACTCTCCTGGCCATGGGGCGGCAGGGGTGACTGTGCTAAGTGAACAAGTGCTGTGGAAAGTCAGAGACGCGCAGGAGCAAGCACTTCCTGTCCGGGGCTCGCACTTCCTGTCCGGGGCTCGCCTCCTCACAGGGAGGACCGCTCTGCAGGGCAGCCGTGCCTCACCGCCGCCCCACACTCGGCAACAAGGAGAACAGACCCAGAGCCTTCGGGGCTGCAGTACCTAGGCTAGAATGCAGTGAGACTGCCTGATGTCACCGCGCTTGAGTTCAGTTTTTATATTAACTGTTTAGGGCCAGTATGGCAACCTTTCCATTTACAGCACTGCTATTTTGTATCATTTTAGAAACAGTTTTAAGGTTTCAAAGAAGTGACTTACTCTAAAGAAAAAACAAAAATCCAGGTAGTTTGCAGACAGGACATGAATGAAGGTGGTACAAGAAGGACAAATATTCTGTTTTTTTGTTTTTCTTCCGGTACCAGGAATCGAACTCAAGACCTTGCGCTTGCCAGGCAGGCACTGTGCTGCTGAGCTAAATCCCCAGCCCCAGGACAGATATTCCGGAAACATTTTTTTGTCACTTTACTAGTTAACAGTTCTAGGGCAGCTCTAAAAGCATGCTGTCCTGCACATGTCCTGCACCACTGCTTCTGGTGTTTCTACTTCATTTTTCAGGGACATCACTGGGTTAGAATCCAGTGACCAGGAAAACACCGAAGGAGTTCCATGAACACACACAGTCCTTGCTACAGGCAGTGGGTAACTTCGGGAGTATGGGTGGCTACGAGAGCAAAGATGTTTCCAGAAACAGCTGGTTGTGAGAAGCAACAACCAATTCTTCGAGAACATTTCCAAAATTCCAAAGACAGTGTGTATCTTTTAACTTATTTTATTTTATTTATTTATTTTTGAGGGAGGGCCTTGCTATATAGTTCAGGCTGGCCCTGAACTCACTATGTTACCCAGCCTAGCCTCAAACTTGAGGTGATCTTCCTGCCTCCGCCTCCCAAGGACTGGGATTAGAGGTGTGTGTCACTCCACCCAGCTCAATTTTGCTTTATGTTTGAAATATTTCACGATAAAATTTCATATTTGTTCTAACACCAAATAGGACAAGCACTGTTGAGAGTTATCACACTCTAGAAAAAAATCAGTTATGTAATTAACTTACCAGTAGTAGATTCTTATCAATGCTGCAGGCCACAGGAGAAAGGAGGCTACGAAGGCCAGGATTGGGATGGCCAGCGTCCCCCCAGCAATCACAAACATGTTCACCACATCGAGATCCATCTGTGTGTTAGAATGCGCAGACGCCTGCAGGGGCTGGAGAGAGAGACGGTATTAATGCTCGGTGCTCAGAAAGGCAAAGAACCAGAGGGAAAAGAGGATAAACGGGACAGCTCAGGAGGGAACAAAAGCAGCGTGTGCTTCGGAAACGGGGACCCTCTGCAGGGCTGCAGATTTGAAAAGACAAAACACTATAGCTACACGGTGCACTGCTGGGTGCTGGGATAAGCGGGGAACTCGAGTGCAGACTGGGTATTAGATGATATTACTGTCACGAGTGCTGGGAGTCCTCAGTGCAGCACTGATGCTGTGGCTGTGTATGTCGGTTAAAGAGCACCTTTGTTCTGAGGAGGGTGCCGCAGTGCAAAGGCATACACTGCATACAGACATAGGTACATATCCACTGCCCACCTTTAAAGGGTCAGGGGAGAAAAAGGAACGTGCACATGTGTGTTAGGAAGGAAGGAAGGAAGGAAGGGAGGAAGGAAGGAAGGGAGGAAGGGAGGAAGGGAGGAAGGAAGGAAGGGAGGAAGGGAGGAAGGAAGGAAGGGAGGAAGGGAGGGAGGGAGGGAGGAAGGAAGGAAGGAAGGAAGGGAGGAAGGGAGGAAGGGAGGAAGGGAGGGAGGGAGGGAGGAAGGGAGGGAGGAAGGGAGGGAGGGAGGGAGGGAGAGGGAGAGAGAGATGGAAGAAGGAAGGAAGGAAGGAAGGAAACAAACCATGGTGAAATGTTGAGCACAAGGGATTCCGGGTGAAGGTTATAAGGTATTACTCCTTTACTTTCCTGCAGATTTATAATTTTAGAAAATAAAGAGGACAGAGAACCTTAAGGAAATAAATAAAAAAAAAATACACAGATACAAGAATGTTTGTATCCCAGGGTATCACTGCATGGACACACAAGAGCCTGGTGATCATGGTCACATCTAAGGCAGGGAACTAGAGGGCTTGCTGTCAGGGATACACATGAGATTTGCGTTGCACTTTTTAAATGTTTTGATTTATCATGCGAGTGAATACTTTGCTCAGAAACAAATAATACACAGTAAGTTGGGAGGAAACAAGCCTGTTTCTCCTTCTAGAACCAGGTTTCTGGAGGGTAGGGACAATCATATATGTTCTCTCTCATATATGTGATTGTACCACACAGCACAGGACACACACGTACTACGTATGGATTGATAAAAAGCAGTTACAGGGGTTGGGGGTGCAGCTCAGTGGTGGTGCACTTTTCCTATAATGTGCAAACCCCTCAGTTCCACTCCTAGCCTGTCAAAAATTAAGTTTGAAATGGGTTCAATTCTGTTGAACTGTTTTAAGGGAAAACCATTCTCAATGATGCTGTCAGAGACCTGACATTTTTCCTCCTTCAGTAATCACAAACTCCCTGGAGGAGTCACCTATGAAAAGGGTACAATGTACACTGCTATAAGGCCTCACCATCGGGGCGGCCAATGAACGGCCCAGTGAAAGGAACCTGTACAGATCTGAACACCATGGACTTCAGAGGAGCTCATGATCACGGGAACTGTCAGCCTCCAAAAAACCCCTTCCACATCACAGAAAGTCCTGAAGAAGTGCTAAGGGCCATGGCGAATCCTGAGCGGCAAGAAGTTAATTACATGATGTTCCTTTGGACCAAAAATTAGAACACTGTATGCCCCAAGCCATCTGTATCACAGGCTCTGACGCTGGAGACGGCTGCTCTGAAACGAAGGTATGATCGTGAAAAAGTAAGTGCCCCACTTTGTGGGTGCCTGCTGCGCATGTCACTCAGTTTGCAGGAAGTTCCATCTGACAGTTAACAGCGGAATAAAGTCTCTTCTAGACATGATCAGTTCGGCAAGTTGGACGTACTACAAACGACCCACACACTTTCCCTGACAAGGTCAAATAAAGCTAAGCTGTCACTGAAAACACTGAAATGCCTTCCAACTGCAACGCTGTCTATACAGATAAAGCACGGACGATTACTCCAACCTCCGCAACATCCCTCACTTAGAAACGGACGTGACCCAGCTGCCCTCTAAAAAGGCGGCTCACCAGCCCTGCTGGTGTTTAGTAAGAGAATATTCTATGTGCCCAGAGGAGAGCCTGGAGACAGGAAAACTAAAGCCCTAGGAACTAGGGACCATCAGTGACCAAAATCAGAAAGGTTACAACATGACCTTCCCAAGCGAGGGGCGCCATGAAGCAGAGCTTGCCAGGAGCAAGCGAGCATTAAGTGATGCTTCAGGGAGTGGGCATGAACAACACTGATGTACATGCTGTGACAGTCCTCTCTCCAGTTTCAATCCTGCTCAGGTCAAAGAACTATCAGGTGGGCATGGTGGAACAGGCCTGTAACCCTAGCACTCCAGGAGGCCGAGGCAGGAGGAAGTCTGCGCCTAACCTGGGCAAATTCATGACTCTGCAAGATCCTGTCTCAAAATTAAAAATGAAAACAGGCTGGAGACACAGTCCAATGTGAAGGCCCTGAATTCAATCTCCAGCACCACATACATGCATGCACGCACACATGCAACCCTCTGGATGATCACAGCTCTCTGATCATGGGGCCCCTTGGAGGTGTCAGCTAATTAGGACTATTGTTTTATTTCATTTCTTTTACAGATACTTTCAAATTATATTAGGGCTGTAAATTAATTTTGAGAATAACTTCAAGCAGCCAGGCATGACGGCACTTGCCTGTAATCCCAGCACTCGGGAGGCTGAGGCAGGAGGATCCTTGCGAGTTCAAGACCAGCCTGGGCTACAAAGTGAACTCGAGCCCAGCCTGAACTAGCGAGACCCTATCTCAGAAAGACATAACTTTCAGTAAAAAGGAGCTTTAAAAATGTGCTAAGAGGTGACACAAGGACCCGGAAAGCATGGTAGCGTGTGTGGCCAGCTCCCACTGAGAGGCGGAGTCCTGGGACTGGTGGGCCCTGGGCCGGGGCCTGGCCGGCAGCCCGCTGTCTCCTGCCTGGCTCTTGCACACATCAGCTGTGAGACTCTGGTCTCATCCATGAACCAGAATACTCAACCAAATCTTCTGTTCTCTACTACTCTGTATCTCTTCTGAAATCATGCCAGACAATTACAGTAGGCCCTAGCTTGCCCTCCCAATAATCTTGTCCACTATTATGTTCTCCCAGAAGCTAAAACAGTACCTAGCAAATATCTGGTGCTTGATAACGTTCAATGCCTGACTTAGTAAACTGAAAAAACAGTACTTTTTAGGTATCTGCTGCGTCAGTTGAGGCCCCAGCCAGCCGCAGCTCACTCTGACGTGTGGTAACGTCAGGAAGGAGCTGGCCATGATGGCACCACACGGCAATACCTTGTACACCGAGACGGAGCCACCACCAGCCCCTTCTGCTGCCTGCTGACAGCCACGCCACGCATGCAGGGGCCTCTGTCCCTGAACACGGACGAAGATTCAGTGCAGAAAGAGGTGCGTCAGGCGACCCAGACAAACGCCGCAATCTAGTCTGGTGTCAGCAGTCAAGCAGAACACATCACAGTTCTGTTCTAATGTTCTCACTGGCTTTGAAAACTGGGGATCCTGAGCTCCAACCTTGAGTTTTCAGGGTACAAAGAAAAATCCAAGAATAAACATAATGTAGCACACTATCAGAAAAGCCTGCCTGGAGCCTGGTGTAGTAGCGCATGCCTGTAATCCCGGCACTCGGGAGGCTGAGGCAGGAGGACTGCTGTGAGTTTGAGACCAGCCTGGGCTACAAAGTGAGCTCAAGGTCAGCCTGAACTGCATAGTGAGACCCTGTCTCAAAAAGACAAAAAAAAAAAAGACTGCCTTTCTCGAGACATCTACTTATAGCCCATCAAATCTAATAAACTAAAGTCCTGCTCCCTCCAGAATAGTAATAATCATAGTAGCAATCACATAAACTATAACGGCCATGGCCATCACCACCCTCAGACAAACACCTAAGAATAGCTGTTTCCACCTACTGAGACTTCTCTGGGCCAGGCCCCACACAGAGGCTCACATACATCCTTCTGTTTGATCTCTCATAGCACTGGGAGTGAAAAACATTTCTCCCATCTTGAAGTATGAAAACTGAGGCTTTATAAGTCACAAATGTCCCCAAGGTAATGACCTGAGCTTCAACACAAACCTGTAAGTAGGTCTGAGTTCATGGTCCCTTTGCCTTTGTGATGCTTCCTCTGGCAGATATTTATTGTACATTATTTATGCACAAGGTACAGGGTCCAGTGGGGTCACAGATAGGTTCTGGACTTCCTCAGAACTGTTTCAACAGCAAATAAGATGCTAACAACTTTACCAGTTATCAGTTGGCTTACTCCTTATGCCTGTTGATGTGTTGTTACAACTATACAGTGCTGCAGATTTTTTCTTTTATTGTGCAAATAAAAATTCTCCCCCCAAAAAACTAAAACTAGCAATTCCATTTGACCCAGCTACCCATCTCCTTAAAGAGTAAGACCTCTGTCTTGGTTACTTTTCTCT